ACTCCCCCCCCTCCCCCCCCGCCCGCCCCTTTGTTCTTCCTGTGACTCCTGCTCTCAGCCAGGTGATGTGCTAGGTTCTGAGGATATAGTTATGAGCATGAAGGAACAAGATCCTCACCCTGAAGGAATTTACTAGTTGGGGAGGTACTGATAGGACAGTCACCTGAACAATTTAGAATTGCTATGAAGAAACAGGTGCAGAGGACTCAGAAGGTAGGGTAGGGTTTGGTCGGGTCACAGAACAGGGTGGGCTTCTTCGAGGACTACGGTTTTGAGTTGAGGGCTGCAGGTATGAGTAGAAGATTGCAGGAACTGGCGGAACCTAGAGAGGAAGTTGGGGGCCCAGGCCTTGCAAGGTTGGGAGGGGCTTGGAAAACTTTGGGAGGGACTTTGGTCTTGGTTTTTAGATCTCTGGGAACCCATCGCAGGATCCACTACTGGAGCTGTCCTGACCGGAGGGAGAACTGACAGGAGGAACAAAAGTGGGTGTGGGAAACCAGAGCAGAGGCATTTGCAGTTACCCAGACAAATGGGGGCATTTCTTTGAGAGGTTTGCGAATGGCGATGGGAAGGAGTGTGTAGAACGAATGTGCTTAGGAGGTGAAATGGACACACTTGGGAAGGACGCTGTGCTGCCAGGATGATACATGGTGTGTGACTTTGACTTGTGTATCAGGACAGATGGTGGCACCCTTCGGTAAATGGGGACACAGGACGAGGCCCTTGGTTGGAGGATAGGAGAGGAGAGAGTGTTTGATGTCGAGAGTGGGAAGTCTACCTGAGAATGCGAGCTGTGGGCAGAGCTGCGGTCTCCGGACTCATGTACACCTGTCAGCCCTCTCGTTTGGGGATGTCACATACTCCATTTGGGAGCCACCTTCTCGTGCTGTGCCCAGTCTTGATGGCCACCTTGTCTGGCCCTTTCATAGGCACTTACTATGCCATTATGCCAGGGAGCCACTCATGCATAGTCGTGGAATCATTCCAAATACAAGGCAATCAGGCACAGAGAGTAAGGCTTAATTGGCTTTCAGAGAAGGGAGAGGGTAGGTAGGCCTGGGGACTTTGGTGTTTGCACTTGAAGCAGCCAACGGGACAGTCTTGTCATAAATACTTAGTGTGCCAGTTGAACTTCATTAACTGTAATCAGTTTCCAAATCCAGGGAGATGAGACTGAGGAGCAAAAAATTTTATGGGTACTTACATACAGTTCTGGTAACCGTAGGTCAAAGAAAGGTGATAGATGCACTGAAATAAGTGTAATTGTAAGGTCACCTTGCATCCTTCATCATGTGTACCTACACATTGTGTGTTTATGTGTGCACATGGATATTAAGTTTTACTCAACGGTAAATAGAAATGGCTTGGCTTATAGCACTACTGGTAAAACCTGTGTAAATTAAGGTGTATCCTAACTTAAAAAAAAAAGATCAACTTCTTTTCCTGAAAAAAGAGTTATTGTTAGGTTAAATTGTCTTAAATCTCTGTGCAGATTAGTAACTGGGAAGACAGAGCATGACTTCTCCAGGATGAGAAGGGCACTTCCCTCTGGTCCCCTAGTAAGCAGACATGTTTGGCCGCTGTCTTTCAAGGCCCAGACTTCTTGTCGCTTCTGTATCCCTTAGCTGCCTGGTCTCACTCAGAGGCGGAGGCAACTTAATTCTGTAAGGCAGATTCTTGTCCTCCCCCAGAAGCTGCCAGTTACGACTTCTCTCTGCTCTGGCCGGCATTCTGCCTTTCTAGCAACAGATGTTTCTGCAGAGTAAATATTAGTGACTTTTGGCGCCTCGTGGTATCTTGTACCGAGCGTGAAACCGTGGGGTTCTGTGAGCGGGCTGTCAGGAAGCTTGGCGTGCACTCAACACCAGTACCAGCTTCCCTCCCTTCTCCGCTCTGCTTCCTGGAATGCGCATGTTAGATGCTTGTTCCATCAGCGTGAAGTCTCCAGAAATAAATCCCTGTGCAGTGACACGTCCGAGGTGATCGTCTGCATACATTGTACCAGTCGTTTTGGGTTGTAGACGAGAATCATTGTGTTTTGGGTGTTGTTTTTTGGTGTCCTCTCCATTGGTCCAAGTAGCCGAGAGGGGTTTTATCTTAATGGGATGAGGCATCATGGGGTATCTACGTGCTCCAAGGGTCTCACCTTGCATGAGCCGATAGAGGCCCAGATCCCCATGTTAGAATTGTGTGTTCTTTGGTCACTCCTTTAGCTTATTTGCATTTTCAGCACAGCTAGTCATGCTTCCCTTCCCTGGGTTCTGCCACTGCAGGATTCATACATTAGGGAACAACAGCCCAGTCCTGCCTCGAACTGAAGCTTACAGTGTACAGGGTGCCTGTGCACTGTGTCCCTGGGACTCCTGACAAGCTGATGTATTAGGTGGGGCTGACAGCTTATGTCAAGTAAGGCGACTGTGAAGTCAGGTTTAAACTAAAGTTGGTTACAAGTCTGGGAAATAGTGGAGCTGAAATTTGAACCCAGGAGCTTGGTAAGGTTGGGGTGAGGGTAAGGGGCTGATCAGCCTATGACCAGGACCACAAGCAAGGCAAGCCTCAAGGGCAGAGTCTCCCAAGCAAGCTTGAGCTGCTCTTGCAAAGACTGGGGAGTAGATGCTGAATAAACACAACACCCAGTGCACTTGGACCGGAAGCTTTCTCTCACAGGCACGCACCACGCAAGCCCACGGGGACTTCCAGTTGGGGGGATTTTTAGTCTACCTCGCTGTGCTTGCTGGCCTGCAACCAGCATTGCCTGTGGACCAGCACTCACTCTGTAGTTCTTCCATCAGCCAGAGAGGCGTCCTCGCCAGCCCTGTGGCTCCCATCTGGCTTCTCCAGCTTGTGTGGTGGCAGAGTGCGCTGTGTGCAGGTTGACAACGAAATAAAGTTACTTTCTGGTCAGGAGCTAACAGGCCTCCCTCCAGCTCAGATGGGCCCTGCTGTGAAAAGGCCCCACAAAGGCCCTGTTGTGCGTTACTAGCCACTCCCTGATCCTCACTGGTCGCCGCCCCTGGCAGCACAGCTGCTCAGGTGCGTGTTGGGAGGTGTCCCAAGCCTAGCTTACATTTCACCTTTCCTCCACTTTGTTCAGATGCTTGTCCAGCTGGAGTCTTTTCTTGCCTACGGGGGAGGCAGAGAGGATTGTTAGGTGGACCGAGAAGTGACCCTATTCTTACTCTTAGCCCAGGCCCTTCTTTGGGAGTTCTGTTCTGGAGAACATTCTAATGATGGTGTGACTGAGCACAGCCATGCCCACATTCTCAGCATGATACTCTGGGCTTCTCTGGGGGCTTTGTCTTCTGCTCTGAAAGATGATTCTGCCCTTTTCTCATCCTGCCTGGCCTCCTATCTTTGCTTCCCACAGCGTTCTGTCAGGTGCATCTGTTCCTTTCTTGACTTGCCGGGGAGCGATTGGCGTTCTGAGGGATATCCTCTGCTTGGGTCAGCCAGTTTGAAGAGATGCCTGCTTCCTCCGCCGGCCTCCCTGGACTTGTGTTAAAGTGCCTGCACTAGGGAGAGACTGGAGACTACTGCCCATTGGTTCCTGTGTTCACCTTCTCCATTTCAGGTGTTGGCTCCTTTTGGTGTAGAGTGAAGCGCTGAAGAAGCCACAGCTCTCTTAGGATTCATGTCCCCCGAGCCCATGGGAGGCGCCTGTGCTGTCCAGGTGGTAAAAGCCTGAGCCCCAGACCTGAGAACAGCGAGACTGCCCTGCCAGCCTCTTCCCTGCGCAGCTAGCTCTTGGAATAAGCTCTGGGATGGCGAGCCGCACACTGGTGGGGCAATTTATATCCCGCCCTCCGTGAGCACACTTTATTCAGCATGCACTGGGCAGGGTGCACTGTGAAGCGCAGAAGTAGAAATCAGCAAACCAAAAGATGGAAGAAAAAACAAACAAACCCATGACCCCTAACTTGAAGGAACAGCTCTAGGAACTAACCAAGAGAAGGGTGTTTTTATTCCATTAGACGATGTTGATCAGTGAATCCAGAATCCTCCCAGCCTCCTCCCCGTATCTCATTAAACCCAGTGCATGTTGCCAGTTGGGCCTCATATTTCCCTCCTCTGGGAATCCGAACATAATACCATTTCCCCTTCAATAAGGGAAACATCTCTGAGGGTCATTTGAATGATTAGCCTAATCTGCAGGAAGGCTGCATGTGGAATTAAGTTAAGCGCGTTTGGACTGAGCAGCTGGGTCTGTCAGGCCACTTAAAGGTACCTAGGTGGTTTTATACCCTTAACAGAAGCTGAGGGTTCAGGAGGGATCATTGGCTTTTAATGCTGTCTTACACGGGAGCTTATTTTTAAAAATTTGACAAGGATTTCCGAGAGCTTTCTTTACAGATAACATATGTGGAGTGTGTTTTTAACCTCAACTCAAAACATCGTCAGGGCTTTTGTTCTTGGGGCGGCGGGGAACGTGGTGACCCAGGGACATGGTTCAGGCGGAAATTGGTCAGGCTGGCTGGTCACTCTCCCTGTGAGGGGGAACTGCGCGCGTTGTGAGAACTGGGCGTCACGTGTGCCTGAGTCAGAATAAGGAGTCCCAGGGCTCCTGTGCGGTGGGGGCGGGACCTGCCTCGCCCTTCCTTCCAGCTCCCTACCTAATGCCCGGATGTGAGAGGTCCGAGCCGAGCCACGGGGTGATGGACACTGATGTCTGCTCTGACCCACACTTGCTCCTGACCCCTCCTTAGGCCTGTTGATTCCCACCTGGGACCAATGCACACGACACGACTCCGTGTGTGGCTGGAGGAGTTCGAGCTGGGACCAGAATGGTTAAAGCAATGTTAACAGAAATAAGAATTTTCCAAGCCAATCAGAATTTCACATTAGAAACAGTTCAGTGTTTTGGAACTTAAATTCTTTTGTATTTGAAATCGCCTCAGGAAAAAATTGAGCTGCTGCATGAAGTACAAGGACTAAAGAGTGCAGCACGTGCGAACATCAGTTTATGTCCATAATTCATATTTGCTTACTCTTTTTCTTGCTAGATCTGTCTTCAGCGAAGAGGAAATTTGCTGATTCCTTAAATGAATTTAAATTCCAGTGCATAGGAGATGCAGAAACAGATGATGAAATGTGTATAGGTAAGTCCTAACCATGTGCGTAAGAAAGGTCACCGTTGACTGTCCCGTCCATGTCCTTGATGAGCCTTCCTCCTGTGATAGAAAGTATCTCAGTGTCATGAATTACTTAATTCATGAATTACCAACAGTGGTGCGGACAGAGTGAAGTCAGGGTCGGGGGCCAAGGAGCCCTTGGCGCATTCATCCTAAGTGGTGAACTAGGCCCCTGGCCCATAAGAAAAATCACTCACAGGTACAGTGGAGTTGTTACCTCAGGCACAGTGGTCAGGGTGTTGACAAGATGTCTGTGGATGAGAGGAGATTTGTTCTAGGACCACCCTCCCCTGCACCGGTCTGGCTAGGAGGAGGGCAGGGCTGCTGTGGGGGGCAGGCTGGGGCCTGGGCCCGGACTACAGTTGCTGCCTGCTCCTAGGCTGAGGGCGGTGGGGCATGCTCCGGCGGCCTCCTGCAATACAGTTTGTTCGGGGCACCTTCCGGTGTTTCTGTTGAGGAGCCCGTTGCTGTGCTGAGTGAAGCTAAACTGCTCTCTCTGCCTGGTTGTTAAAGGCCCGATCCTCCTGTTTTCCTGGTAAATGGACAGACCCATACCCTCCCATCCCTCTATCTCCCCTCCCATTTCTTAATCAGAGGCTGAGGGCGGGGTTACTGTTGACGACTACACTGTGCACAGGTGATTTGCAATATCCAGACGTCTGCCTTTGGCAGGGTCTAGCCCTTGCACTTGACTCTTCTTACATTGGGCATCTTGGTTAGCTCCCTGGAGTGAGCAAGGATTGAGAAATTAAACTAAGAAAGTTGTCTAATGCTTGTTGAGTCCTCTGTTGTCACTCAGAGTGGCCTGATCTGGGCATGAGCAAAGGCAGTTGGGACATAGATGAGAGCAGTGAAAATGCATCGTTGTAGTACCTCCTGAATACATGGGTGCTTCTCCCAGCACTACGCCTATGTTCTGAATATCTTCAGGGTTGCTGCACCTCATGCCTGTTGCCTTTGGGAATAATTCTGGTGTAGGAGAGTCTACATCTGACCACCATGCTGTAGGCATATTGTATCAATAAGTGGCTTAAAAGACTCAGGAGGAGGAATCCAGGGAGAAACCAGAGATGTGGCTTCTAAGGCGAGCTGCACTAGTGTAGTCTTGGTGCCAAAGGAAAGGTTGACTTCTGACGCAGGCCCACAACTAAGGTTGAAGAGGTCAAATCCTGGGCAGGAAATCCTTTAACTCTTACGTGGAACTCTGCCCCTTCCAGCCAAGAGTCTGGGAGCCAGCCAGCATCTCATCAGTCCTGGGTAGTGTCAGGAACAGGCAGGTTTTTGAAGGAAATCCTTTCCTAGCTAGAGTGCCAGGTGAAATTAACCTGCCTTTTGGGGTCATCCTGGATGGTTAATGATGAAAAGATAAGGGGAGAACTTGGGAAGCAATTGACTTTAGGATTCTGCCTGTGCCAAGGGATTTGAATCCATAACATACTCACTGTGCTTGGAAAGGCTCCCAAAGGCCCATTTCTCTATGTCCCTCTCATGGCACTTTCTCTTTTCCAGCAAGGTCTTTGCAGGAATTTGCCACGGTCCTCAGGAATCTTGAAGATGAACGGATACGGATGGTGAGTACGGCCAGGGTGCTCTTGGTCCCATATAGTGTGGTCATGTCAGCCTTCCATAAATGGTAAGGGATTACTATGGATAACTTGAGAACCATGTTGTTGTCCTCCCAAAGATTCACTGTAAGGTGTGCCTGTAAGGTATGACTTCCAGGTGGATCTTTTGAATCATTTAACTTCTGGAGGCCTAGGATTCCCTATGGGCAAGGTGGGAATGAAGGTGTCACACTCTGCTTCCCCCTCCCCCACACCCCACCTCCAGTCTCCTCTTACCAAATGTATCCAAGAGTCCTGAAGGGCAGGGGTCCCTCCTTCAGTGTTTATTCTGAAACACCTAACCCGGTGTCTGCCCTGCAGCATGCACCGAGTCAATGGGCACTAACTAAAGGATTGTCATTACGAGAGGTTCTACAAAGGGAGCACTGGGCATATTGAAGAATCAAATGCTGATCTCTAGGTTCTTAGACGCTATCTTCTCTATTCTAAATTATTATAAATTATTCTGATGAGGTTTGGCATCCACAGATAATGGATTACACATCCATAAAAAGTTCTTTTGCATCTTCTCTGTATCCCTAAGATACCAAGAATGAAGCCTGAATTGCAGTCCCTCTGCTGGCCTCATGGTGATGTGCCCCTAGGAGGGCTTGGCCCTAGGCAGTGGTGCTCTAGAGGCCCAGGGAAGAAACTGTCAGTGAACATTTGTCCTCTCTTCACATGCTAAAACTGATCATTGGAGACTAAGTTGGCTGTCTTTTTTGGGTAAAAAAAATTTTTTTTAAATGTTTATTTTTGAGATAGAGATAGAGACAGTGTGAGCAGGGGAGGGTCAGAGAGAGAGGGAGACACAGAATCTGAAACAGGCTCTAGGCTCTGAGCTAGCTGTCAGCACAGAGCCCAAAGCGGGGCTTGAACCCACGAACCATGAGATCATGACCTGAGCCGAAGTCAAACGCTTAACCAACTGAGCCACCCAGGTGCCCCCTAAGTTGGCTGTCTTGATCTGCTTAGACTGCCACAACAGAATACAGCCTGGATGGTTTACACAGCAACTACTTATTTCTCATAGTTGGGGAGACTGGGTATAATCCAAGATCAAGGAACCAACTGATTTGGTTCCTGGTAAGGCCCTTTCCCTGCCTTGCACATGGCCACCTTCTTGCCATATCCCATTGTGAGGACTCTGCCTTTATGACCTAAGGACCTTCGAAACACTCTGTCTCCAGATACTGCCATCCTGGGGGTATTAAATGATAAACTGAGGCATATCATATTTTTATGACTTTATTCGAAGAACAATTGGTTCAAACTGGGAAGCACCAAACTAGAAATGTTTAGGGACCCTCCACTGGCAGGAACTATAGGGGAAAGGCTTTTCTAGGGAGCAAATGGAAGTAACAAGGAAATGATTTGATTAGTTATAGCTTAAGCTGTTGTTTTACTTGGGAAAGCCTAGTCAGTCTCCATTTCTCAACCCGGAGAGGTTGACAGCCTTGGGTTTTGGTTTGCTGATGTAAGCTATGATAGCATTAGAGCTACCCACTTTAATGGCTCCTTTGTTTAATTTCACAGAGGTTAGGGCTTGGCCGTATAAATTTTGAGGAAATGCTATTCAGTCGATAGCCTCGACCAAGACATGTATGCACACATTTTTAATTTTAACCTGAATGATGGTCCCTATATCATCCTATTGTCTAGATGAAGATACTGCAGTTCCGGATGGTTGGTTAACATGCCCAAGGTCACATAGTTAAAAAAAAAAAAAAAAAAAAAGTGTCATGGTTTGTATTCAAACCCAAAATTGTGTTATACTAAAGAATGTGGGAATTTCCTTGGAACACTCCACAGAGCGGTAGCTCTCACCTCTGCCCTCCACACAGAAACATGGTTTACATTGATGGCTTCTTTTTGGGTGCCTGCACCAGAATCAGGAGGCTGGTAGCCGCAGCATGGTCGGTGGTGGGTGGAGGCAGGGGACAGCTTGTGTGTTTGTGCACGTGCTACTGTCTGAGAAAGGGAAGTGATTCTTAGGAGTCTGATTCTTGGCTGAGTCTGTGTTTGTGGGTGGGGGCGTGTGGGGAGTAGATCACGATGAATACCGTGCAGATTGCTTGGGCTTGTGGTAAGGGAACAATGACTGGATTATACTCTTCAGCTTGCCTCCACAGTTTTTTTAGTAATGTCTGTGAACTGAGTTTTCTACTGTGCGCATCCGAGTATCTGGCCATCTCAAGTCCCTTTCCTACCTCCTCACCTGATGACAGCCTCATCAGTTTAGCTCAGCTTACCAAAGCCGCACCTCTCTGCAAAGGCTTTCCCAACTCCTTGGGATAGTTGGCCATCCTTTGTATTTTCTTAGTATCAGGTTCATGCATCTGATTCTCCACTGTGTCTGATACTCACTGCATGTGTCTGTCCCATAGTAAGTAGGAGTTCTTGAGGAGCAAAGAGTGGGCTTCTTTGTCTACCAGTATCAGTGCAGTGCTTAGAGCTGAGTGGAAATGACATAGTCGTAGAATCTTAGACCCAGAACAACCTTGTTTCTCACTATCTGTCGTTTTTCACGGACCACTTGGGAAAACTGACTCTTGTGAAGTCCAGTAGCAAGCAGTAGAAGGACTGGGACAAGGTCTTGGGCATTCTGTTTCCCAGGTGTATTAGTGCTTTTGTGTCTAGCCTGTCCTTAAGGCTAGGTTCTCAGCCACAGATGCCCATTGGAACAACTTGGATAGTTTAAAATCTATTGATGCCTGGGACAAAGTATTGGTTTGAGACATAACCTAGACATTGGGTTTTTTTTTGTTGTTTATTGGCCTCTTCTTTAAAAAATAAAGTTTATTATCAAGTGAGCTAACATACAGTGTATGCTAACTTGTGCTCTTGGTTTCAGGGGTATGGACTTTGGGATTTTTAAAAGCTTTCCTGGTGAGTCTGACATGCTGAGATTGAGCACCACTAGCTTAGGGGCTCAGCACACTACTGTGAGCTTTGGAGACTTTCAGTTGATTTGTGGAAGAGTTAAACAGGGGAGCCCATTAAGCAACATCAAATAATGATAAAAAGCAAACAAGTTAAACATTGCATCCTTTATGTTAAAACGCTCTCTTCTGAGATAAGTGCTCTCAAAATTGAGAAAAAAACAAATGGCAGTGTATTTGGAGACCTGCCACTTTTTATTCTTCACATCGCTCACTTAGTTCTTGGCTGTGTCCATCGATGGCTTCTGGCATTTACTCTGTCGGTTTCATTGTTATGGATGTGCATGTGATACAGAAAAATAATCCTTTGTTGCGACAGGATTCTTGAAATAATTAGTAGAGCGACGAGTGAGCAGTGAATGACTTAAAAGGAAAGATTGTAAAATATTTTTTACTGCCTTTGAGCAGACCATGGACTCTTGGAGCTGGAACAATCCAGCCTACTCATTTTGCACATGAGGAAATTAGAGCCCAGAGAGGTTAAATGCATTGCCCGTGGTCACACAGTTGGCAGCCAGTCAAGAAATAATTCATTCATTCATTTAGTCATTGAAAAATACTTGAGTGCTCCTTTGTTTCAGCACACTTCTGTGTTGGGAGGAGAATGGTGTGCAAGTGGGCATTTGCAAGATAGGCGTGCACATGTGTGCATGAGTGTGTGTGTGTGTGTGTGTGTAGTGGTAAATTACAAAACTTTAGCTGGCTTAAATCTTCTGAAGGAAACACTTGGTGAGGTAGCGAGGAGATGTTTTCTTTGCAACCAGCTGGTGATCAGGGAAAGCCTCCCTAAAGAGGTGACCTTAAGGCCTAAACCTGAAATAGAATAAGAAATGAGTTGTCTACAAGAGACTTTGGGGACCTAGCATCTGAGTAAATGGCGACTGCCAAAACTTGGAAGTAGAACAAATTTTGGGCATTTGAGGTACATTGGGTGATGATCTGGGGGGTGTGCAGGACCTGATGGGATGAGTGCCTGGGGATGAAGGTGAGAGGCAGCCAGTGGTCCAGAGGCACAAATGCCCTGACCCTAGTCCAGTACTGGTAGGAATACACAAAAGCAGGCTTGGAAGGTTTTCATGCCACTGCATGTCCAAAGGTGTTTCTCGTTTTAAACGTAGACTCAGTGTTGGTCTGTCTAAAATACATCTACTAAAAAATAGCTTGGGTGAATGGGTATTTACAAGAAGTCACTTAAAAGCTGAAATTTAGATTCTCTCCTGTCACCAGCTCCCCTCTGCCTTCATGTGGCTGCTTACCTTTTTGGAGGTCTGCATTTGTAAAGAATGAATCCCACACAGGAAGAATTCCATGTTTTGAGATGATGACTTGGTTTTGAGCTGACGTGTTTTCAGTTCACGTGTCGTGAACAGTTGACACCTGTACAGGGTTGCTTACTCAAATTTTGAAGCGAGACCCAGGAGGCATTTGGTGCCAGAACTACTAGAATTCTTTACAAAATTTTTTTTTACTGTTTTATTTATGTCTGAGAGAGAGAGAGGCAGTGTGAGCAGGGGAGGGTCAGAGAGAGAGAGAGAGGGAGACACAGAATCGAAACAGGCTCCAGGCTCTGAGCTACCTGTCAGCACAGAGGCCAACGCGGGGCTCAAACTCACGCATCGCAAGATCATGGCCTGAGCTGTAGTCAGATACCCAGCCGACTGAGCCACCCAGGTGCCCCCTTTTTAAAACAAAATTTTTTTTAAATGTTTTATTTCAGAACTGTTAGAATTCTTAACTGATTGCTGCTTTTGTGTGCATGTGTCCCCTGTCCCCCAACCCTGCCCTGTTTCTCCTCACCAGATTGAGAATGCCAGCGAGGTGCTCATCACTCCCTTGGAGAAGTTTCGAAAAGAGCAGATTGGGGCTGCCAAGGTGAGAATTACACAAACTCTGTCCTCGGATTGTAGGGCAGCCTTGTTTTCAGATTTTATACCAGCTCATCTGTTACTCGAAAGTATCTCAAGTAAACTTGAGTGTGGTCAAACCCCAGAGCAGTCATTCTCGTATTTTGTTACCTAATCGTTTTGTGCTAGTTCATAAATCATGCAAAGGTAGAAACCGTGCCTCTTTGTGTTAGTAGATACATCTGTGCTTGCACAACATGGAATTGTACTTACTGCGGACATCCAAGACTCTGCGCCTAGACCCGGGTTGCGGGTTGGGCCCGAGGGGGTGGGGAGGGACACAGCTCATTTTTGTTGTGTTTGAGAAAATGGGCCTTTTGTTGCTAGATCTTGACATTTTTCACGACAAAGTGAATAGTCATAGTTTTCTTTGAAATTTCCTGGTTTAGAAAAATATATGCTATACCTTGTGCAGGTCAAAAATCAGGACTGCTTCAACTCCTAGGTCCCAAGGGGTAGTGCTGACGGGGAAGGACAGCAGCTAAAATTTGGCCGATTCCATCAGTCCCTGAGAAGACTGCAAAGAGCATCTTGCTCGTTTTTACAAGGTGGATTCTCCTGGGTTCCCCTGCCCTGTGAGAAGTCACTAGGAAATCCCAGCTAGTTTGACCTTCAGAATAGTGTTAGAGGCCACCTGCAGGGAAAGTGTTTTCATTGGAATTGGTGAAAGCAAAAAGGATTTTTGAGATTTTCTTCCTGTTTTTTTCTGGAAGTGTGAGTCCTGCTGGCGCCACCTGCAGGGAGCTTTGGGCAACATCACTCACCTACTTGATTAGATTTTACTCTGCTGTGAAATGGCCTTGAAGTAGGTGCCTATATGTGGGAGAAAGATAACTGAAACATAACAAAGTGGCATCTTTCTCCTCAACCCACCTACCCACCTATGCACATCTGCTTCCGAAAATGAATACGATGAGGGTCCGCAAAAGGAGATGGGCTGCTCAGGCAGAGCTCTTCAGAGGGACAGTTGACCGTTGTTTGAAGGACAGACCACAGCAAAGATTTTTCTCGCAGCTCTAAATCACTTTCTACCAGTTTTACACTTTACATTTATGAAGAAATGAGAGCTCGTGAGTTTTGCATCAGAGATTACAGAGTGTATACTTAAGAGGGAGTCTCTTCCACTAGGAATTTGTCCAAGACTTGGAATTTGCCGTGAGTGGCCCTGCCCGGGTTCTCCTGTGCGTGGGCTCAGTGAGCAGAACTTCACTCTGGTGGCCTTGGGACCCATGCTTCCTATTCACGATAATACCTGTCAGTGGCACTGGATGTTCCAAAGAGCTTTGAGGCAGCGGCAGTGAACACAACTCTTTATCGAGTCCTCTTTCCAACAGTCTTTTCAGGCTCTGAGCACGGACGCATCTCACTCTGGCCTCTGCCCTCAGCCCTGCTTTTGGGGGTTGCCACGGTTGGCACCGAGGAGGAGGAGGATTCTGAGTGGGCTCCCCATGGGGGGAAATACCAGTGATCTTAATAACAGTAGCAGGTACTTTTCCAGAAGTGGGGAAGAGGTGGAGTTGTAGATCATGAGAAATAGGCGAATAAAATAATTTAAATAAAATCACTCATCAAAACATGTTGCTTCTCATGCACTCTAATCTCTCGTTCCTGTTGAACAGTGTGAAGATGTTGGGGGTGATTTTCCCTCGTCTCCTTTTGTCATTTCTTTTTCCCAATAGGCTTGTTCTTCCCCTCCCCCCATATGCGTACATTTGTATCCTCGGCTTGTGTACATTGAAGAGAAAGCAAAGAAATCAACTCTTCACCAGGCAGCTTAGGAAGCAGACTAAGAGTCAGCCAGGGCTCTTGAGTGGCCAAGTGGAAGTTTCTGAACTCTGCATGTTTGCTGCTAAAATTACCCTTCCTCCCCTTCTGGTGCTGCTTTGGTTGCTATAACAACCTGTTGCTACTTTGCAAGAAGCAAAAATCAGTGTTGGAGGTGAAGGCTGCCAGGGAGGAGGACTCCTGGGCATTCTGATGCAGGGGTAGCTGTCCTGCCAAGGTCATGACCCCTGGAGCTTAGCCTAACCATGACCCTATGTTTAGAATTCTGAGTTTGGGGGAGTTTGTTTTTCCACCAGCCTAGGTGCATTTGGACAGCCAGGCATTTCAGTGAAAGTAAAATAGAAGTTAGAGAGCAGTGGTGAAGAGGGGGGCATTGGCATGTTAATTTGGGGGATAGCTGAACCTCTTCATACCTGTTTCCTGGTCTCTAGAATGGGGACAGTGATAATAGTTCCTAGAGTTCTTGTGAGGGAGACATGAATAAATGCATATATGTGCTCAGTGTCATATAGTCCTTGGATGTTAGCTGTTAGACGCAATACACACAGTTCGTTCACTTAAAAAAAAAAAAAAATACATGAGCACCTGCTCTGAGCCTGGCCACAGGATGGAGGAGAGCAAGTGTAGATGTACTGTGCTCATGGTGTGGCTAGAGAGAATGACATGAAACAAAAAGATGTAAATAAACATAATTTCAAGTTGTGGTAGGTGTTGTGAAGACTTACCTTCATGGGACAGTGGGGCATGGGAAGCAAGTGGGGTGCTCCATAAGGAAGAGGTATGTTCAGGTGACGGGTCTCTCATTACCACCATGACTACTGTGATCACTACTGCCAACATCATCATTACTGAATTTTATCGTGTACTTTCTGTGTGCTGGACTGTCTGCTAAGCACTGTCTATGGTTTATCTCCTTTTATCCTAATAGGTGTATGAAGTGGTGGCTGTTTTTATTCTTACTTTGTTAGATAGTATCTCTGTTGAAAGAGGAAGCCTGAACCTGAGCCCATCTCAGTTTATAGGTGAGAGAACCCAGTTTTGGAGAGGGGGCAGTGATTTGTTTAGAGTCTGTCCATGAGTAGTTGGGAATAATTTCCAGGATTCTAACTCTGTGTTTTCTCCATTTAGCCAATGACATTGGGCTCCCTGGGAGGCAAGCATCATCTGATACCTGAGTAACTCATGAAATACCACCCTCTCATCTTAAGAGCATTATCTAAATCTTCGTAGAGTTACTCCCTGGAGGTCTTGGTGCTGTTTTTTTCGGAACAGAAACTGCTTCCTTTCTAGCTTTGGCCGTCCTCTTGAACATGGAATGTGGCAGCTGGAGTTGCCAAAAAGTCACAGAATGCCGGTGACTCATGTTCCCTGGCCTTTTCTCACCTCTGGCCAGCTGGGCTAGTCCAGCATAGGGTTTTCCTCTTGGGGCTTCCTGACAGGTTGCTGGAGTGGATCTGCTAGCATTAAGGGGAAGGGGAGCCCCAGGTCCAAGTTGCTGATTTCTGTAGAGGAAAGAGTTGCTTAAGTCACTGTCTAGCCTGTACCCATCCTCAAATTTGAAGGAGTAGTATCTCCCCCGGCTTTTTCCTCACTTGCTTTTGCATGTTGAGTTGTTCTTGTGTATAAGGAGTCTTGCAAGCAAAATTCAGATTTGTAGAAGTGGGTACATGTCAGCTAAAAAGGGTATGTGATGATTGTGCCGACTTTGAGAGGCTTAGAATCTCAAGGTTGACCAGATGAATGGTGTTCTGACATGGCCGGGGATTCAGGTGAGAGCTTCTTGGTGATTCCTGTCACCTGTCCCACATAGGCTTGCCCAGTATTCCCCCCAGAACATTTGTACTGCTCTTGCGCTCTAGAAGGCTCCACCCTGTCCCTCATATGATTAGCAGGTCTTAGCTCACATCATTGAGCACTCTGTGGACTGAGAGCACCTTATGTCTTTCAGAGCCCTTATTGCAGTCTATAATTACACTCTTTATTTGTTTACTGGTTAATTGTCCTTCTACGAACTCTACCAGTGTTTCACTACCCTCTTCTATCAGTGAGGCTTAGGACCACTTCTCCCTTGTGTTGCTAGTGGTTAAAGGAGCCTGACACAGAGCGATTGCTTCTTCTATCTTTGTGGAATGAATGAAGATGCCTCTGAGCTTCCTTCTCTGGCTGCAAAAGTTTGTCTCCTCTTAGAGGCTTTGGAGTAGCAGGAAAATATGTCCTGTGGGTTCCAGCTGAGTCCAGAGTAAGAATGATGCACTGACTTAGTGAAGTTGATCCTGTTCTTCAAGCCATTGTCAGCCTTCTTCCAGCCCCCTTGATTGCCACCCCCACTAGAGAGTGGAAGGAAGAGAGCCACTTGTGGACATGCGTCTCAAGTGAGGTTGAAAGGTGGGCTTTGGAGGCAGCCCGACCTCAGATCTCAGCTCTGTCACTGTGACTTTCTGTAAGTTAACCTCCCATTATCTAAGTTTCCTTTTCCCTAAAATGGGAGATAAAAGTAGAATCTCAATGACTCATTGGTTAAGTGGGAAAGCAGAAATTATGTGTGTTATGATTTTTATATTTTTCATTGTGAAAGTTATTAACTTAGGATAATAAAAATTTCCCAAATGGAGGAAGACAATCGCCCAGTGTCCCGTTTCCTTAATTTGGTTATTTTCACTGATCTTTCCATGTAATCTTTGTCTCTAGGTAGATACATGCTATGAAGGATGCACCAAGTTTGTATCATAATAGGAGTACTTGACATTACATCATGAGCAGCTTTGCCATATCACCATGTAGACTTCCTTGTTCTGTTCATTGGATTTCCTGCCCTTGAGTTATCTCAAGCCCTGTCTTTGGGCAGCGATGTGCTTTTGCCCTTTTGTTTGTTTGCTATTAAAAATAATGCTGCTTTGAACACATTCACTTTCTTTGTTTTCATTTGAATTATTCTTCATTTCACAGACCCGCATGTGTTAAGTGTTGTGCCCAGGGATATTTAGGTCTATCAAGTACTTTTTGACCACTGTTAAAGGTGAATCTGCCCTTATTCTAGACCTGTCCCATTTAAGTTTTACGTAGGTCTTACTGCTTTGGAGTTAGCTTCACAGGTAACTTTGCTCCTTTCTTTGGCCTTGAAAATCCTTTGAGAAATTAGAAATTTCTCTTTCAGAGTTGAGGTTCTTAGAAAGTGGACTTCTGGCTTTGCCACTATTAAATACTAGTATATACCTTCTTTCTGGCCTTGTACAGGTTTCTCTGTGATAGACATTTACACCCGTCAGTCTGTTGACATGGGTTGGCTTGAGTTAAAAGCTAGGTTGTTGGCTGTTCTGGGTCTGAAGGCATGGTGAACTATGAAGTGGAGCAGGCAGGACTTGACAAGGTTGCTTTTATTCCCACAACATTGTACTCTTTCTCTCCTCTCTTCTTTTTGCTAGGAAGCCAAAAAGAAGTATGACAAGGAGACAGAAAAGTATTGTGGCATCTTAGAAAAACACTTGAATTTGTCTTCTAAGAAGAAAGAATCTCAGCTTCAGGAGGTAAGAAACTTCACTAGTACCCTAAACAAGGTGATTGATTTCTCTGTGATGCTGTGGAATCTGTACTAGTTCCTCCTTGCCAGAAAAACTGGAAGATGCCCCCAAAATATGTAGTCATCCATGATAAATGCATAATTCCATTTAGGTTCTATCCTGATGCCCTCACTTTTTAGTTACTTACCCTTCTTTGAGTGTCGTTTAGCATTTAGGGTTTGGAAACTACCTTTAAGGACTGTCTTTTTGGCTGCAGCTTGCAGTGACTGGATGTGGCCAGCTCTACAGTTTCTGAGCAGTTAAATCAATCAGGGTCGCTAAGAGTTGAGCAACTGTGTGACTGCTATAGCACCTGTTGGTGTTGAGACGCCCATAGCACAGTGAGTCTATAGGCATGGCGTTCCCCAGAGTAAGGACGCTTTTCTGGTCTATTCTCTCCATGCCTGGATGCTGCTTTCCTGGTCAGGGATGAGTCTAACATACTTGTTTAAAGTCACACCAATATCCACTCCCCCTGAGATAGCACAGTGTCAGCCCAGAGCCCTGGCTGGCAAACTGATATCTTACTTCAAGGCCTGCTGTTCCGTGTTTTCACTGTGTGACCTGGGGCAAGTACTCACCTCACTGAGTTTTTAATTCCATTTTTTGATAAAATACAAAGTACCTGTTCTGTCCACTTCATGTATGGGAAGACTTATTATGGCTGCTAAACAAATAGAAAGTATTATCCCTCTGACTGGCTCGTTCTTCCCCATTCCCTGTTCCCAAATTGGATGGTACTCTTCCTCACTGCCTTAGTGTGTTCAGGCTACTAAAACAGAATACCATAGACAAGGCAGCTTGTAGAGACAGAAATTTAATTCTCAGAGTTCTGGAGGTTAAGAAGGCCAGTGTTGAAACACTGGTAGCTGTAGTGTCTGATGAGAGCGTGCCTCCTGGTTCATACATAGCTTCTTCTTGCTGTGGCATCATGTGGTGAAAGACCAGGGGAGCTCCCTGGGGTCTCTTTTGTAAGGGCACCCATTCCATTCATGAGGACTCCATCCTCATGATCTCGTCTCCTTGCACAGGCCCCACCTTCACGTGCTGTCCCGTTGGAGTGTATGTTTCAACACAGGAGTGTTGGCAGGGACACCGATATTTACTCTACAGTACTGCCTTGGCCAGTTACAGATATTAGTGGGCATTTCTACATTATGCTCTTCTGTGGTTCTTTGTGTGCTGGTCTTTGACTTTGCTGTGCTTACTAGGTACTTTGCAGGCCAGGGCTGGGCTGGGCTATAGGTCTTTCTTTCAGGTCCAGGTCTTATTGAGCATTGCTTTAAAAAAAAAATTTTTTTTTTTTAACATTTGTACCTTTTTTTGGAGAGACAGAGAGAGAGTGAGCATGAACTGGGGAGGGGCAGAGAGAGAGGGAGACACAGAATCCGAAGCAAGCTCCAGGCTCCGAACTGTCACCATAGAGCCTGACACAGGGTCGAACTCATGGACTGTCAGATCATGACTTGAGCCGAAGTCGGATGCTTAACCAACTGAGTCACCCGGGCACCCCTGAGCATTGCTCTTTAGTTATGCCTGAGCTGAATAAATTTGATAAAAATCTTAGAACAATAAAAATGATAAAACAGTTTTCACTGACCACAACAGTAATACCAGCAAATCTTTACCGAAGCTTATTCAGATACTGTGTTAGGCACTTTGCTTGGAATCTTGTCAAATCCCTACAACCACTCTGTGCAGTAAAGATTTATTCCCTCGACGTTCAGTAACTTGCCTGTAGTTGGTCAATGAGGTTGTGAACACTGGCCCCTGACCGTGGAACTCTGAATTCACTGTGCTCTCCTACTTGCCTCTCAACCCTGGGAGTGGGCAGCCTTTGTTATGCAATGCCAGTGTCATTCAGGTAGGAGTCACCTGGAGGAGGGACCTTGGTAATCTTCTGATTGAACCTACTGGAAATACATTGGAAGGAACTGGGTTCCTTGCAGAGGTCAAGTGAGTTGTTCAAGGTCTTGCAGCTATTAAGTGTTGATTTTCTTCACGGTTATTAAAAAATCAGTTTGGGAATATTAGTAAACACCTAGTGCACTTTTAATGAAATTTGCTTTCTTGGAATATCCAGGATTCTTCCCTAATTGCAGAGCTCTGGACTGAATTCTGTTAAGTTCTAGCCCATCCCTACATTGCGGTGGGTAAAATTATAGGGCAGTGATGTGGAATGACACTGCCATCTAGTGGATGATTCTTTCGTCAATTAACTATTTTTTTTTCAAGGGCTAAGAAGCTTCAAAGACCATATTCACTTAACACATATTCATTGCCTACTTCTATGAGTCCTTTCAGGTGTCAAGTGTTGTGGAGAGTAAATGAATGATTGGCATTCATGAACTTACAGTCTAGGACCGTGTCTCTTTTCCAAAAAGCATAGAATGGTTGGTACATCTCAAACAAGTGGGTAGTTAACCGTTTCTCAAGTAACCAGCAGGGAAACCATCCTAAGTGGCTTGCCAGGTGGGCTGAACTCCTGGCCAGCCAGTCCATTGCAGGGGGTGGTGTCTAATGATGTGATGAATTCTATGGCCCAGGTTAGCACAGGCATTGGCAGGAGAAACCTACCATTCTAATTGGATTTTTTCTTCCCTTTCCTGTGGAAATACATTGAGTTACACCTCTCTTCTGAGAACTGAAAAACTGGCCACATAGAGATTGATTTATTCATTCCTCAGGCATCTCTTGGATGCATACTATGGGTCAGCCAGTGTTCTGGAAGCTGGGATAGAAAAGTGGAAAAATGAGGCAAAGTCTTTGCTTTCATTGATGTTATATTGCAGTAGGCAAGCGGCAGGAAGAGAAAAGCATTAAAAATAATGTTACATAGTGGTAAGGGAAACAATTGGGAGGTAGGTTACCCCAAGGGGTCTTTATCTTGTATACATGAACATGGTGCATGAGGTCTTTTCTAAACAGGTTAACAAGTGAATTGAAGCTAGAAGGATGAGAAGGACCACTAAGAGAAAAGCTAGGATAGTGTTCGTGAAATTGTGTGTGTGTAGGGGTGCCTGGCTGGCTCAGTCAGTGGAGCATACAACTCTTGATCTCAAGGTTGTGAGTATAAGGCCCATGTTGGGTGCAGAGGTTACTTAAAAATAAAGTATTTTAGCGGTACTTGGGTGCCATATTTGGTTAAGTGTTGAACTCTTGTCTTCAGCTCAGATCATGATGCCATGGTTTGTGGAATTGAGCCCGGCATCAGGCTCCCCACTATCAGTGGGGACTGTCGGTGCAGAGTCTGCTTGGGATTCTCTCTCTCTCACTCTCTCTCTCTCTCTCTGCCCCTCCCCCGTGCTTGCTCCCTCCCTCTCTCTCAAAATAAATAAGGTATTTTTAAAAAATTGTCATAAAAATCTGAATTACTGAGTCATGAAATAGAATAGAGGAGGCTACAGAAGAAAATGATAAAGACATATTTTTTGGGTCATAATGTAAATAAATGTTTCTTACCCAGCCTTAAAGCCTTAAAAAACTGAGTATTTAGCAGAAGAGGTTTACAAGCAGAAGTAACACCAGTGGCAATGATTGCATGGCAGGAAAGCATTTGGAGTGTTAGGGGACAGGGAGTCAATTTGGGTGACTGGAGCAAAGTGAGAATGCACGGGGTTGGGGGGAAGCAGGTCACACAAGGTCTTGCAAACCATGGTGGAGGCTAGAGGGAGACGTTGATGAGTTTGTGAGAACCTCTGATGCCAATTTTAAGAATGCTCTTCTGTCTGCTGGGTGCAGACTGGAGTGGAGTTGGGGAGAGAAAGAAAGCTGGGAGACCAGTTAGGAGAGGAACTTAACCACCCAGAGACGCATGGCCAACTTCGGGGAGGAGCTGGGCCTGAAGCCCATCTGCTCTGAAGGGCTTGGTGGGAGTAACAACAGATGTGCACACAGCCCTTTTTGCCTTTCAAATGGCTCATTTTCTTGCAAGGGCGGATACTACCTCCAGGTGTGGGAAAGAGACCCAGTGAGGATAAGTGACTAGAGCAGGTCTCTCCAGCTAGAATATGCTAGAACTGCAAGTCCAACCTGGGTGTTTGGCCTATGAGCTCCCTGACTCATGCTGGGCTCTGCTGTTTGTCTCCAAGGAGTTTTCCTCCATTGCTGTCTCACGGCAGGAGCCATGTTGCAAATTTCCAGAATGATCCTTTCTTGAGTTGCAGTGTCAGTTGGCAAGCTTGAGCAGGGAGGATGTTTGAGGTGTGTGGGTGGTCAGGGGAAGTAGCTGCATCCCTGGTGTAAGTGTGTTGGATTTGCGCTATGAGGAAATGACAGGCTGCAGGAACATATGGGGCTTAGCTGGCCGGAGCCCAGGTGGAAGGCATGTCAGCCCAGTGGTCTGCAGAGCCACACCTGGGGAGGGAGGGAATGGCACTTTCTGAAACTGGGCCTCCAAATAAAGATCTCTCAGTCCTCAGATACCAACTTCCCCTGCTGAGAGGCTTAGAAGAGGCCCCCAAGTTTAGCCCTTCGTGGTTTTTTAAATTAAAAAAAAAATTTTTTTTAATTTCCAGCACTTAGCAAATTAGCTTCAGTGTACATTGACCTAGGAGGAAGTTGCTCACAGGAGAGTTGAAAGGCTTTTTTGCGCTTTAACCAGAGTTTGTAATTTTCTATTTATTTACATGATTATTTAATATCTCTTTGCTTCCCTATTTTGTGAGCTCCATGAAGGAAATTTCTTTTTGTCCATGATGGGTGAATGAATGAAGCATTTGTCAGGTTCTTTAGGTAGAAAGATAGAGCAGAGCCGTATTTGGTGTAATGGAAGATAAGGTCCATCTCAAGTTTCCTCTGCAGGGAACTTGAGAAAGGAACCCTGGAAGACATTTCTGTGGGGGCTGTGTCTGTCTCTATCAAGTATGGCATAGAATGATTTCTCACCCTTTCCCCTCTAAAGAAGGCAGATTCTTGTTTTCTGCTACCAGGATATTCATTTTTATATAAAAAAAAAATATCAAGGGATGGGGCGCCTGGATGGTTCAGTTGGTTAAGCTTTGGACTTTGGCTCAGGTCATGATCTCACAGCTCGTGCGTTGGGCTCTGTGCTGACAGCACAGATTCTGTGTCTCCCTCTGTCTGCCCTTCTCCCACTTGTGATCTCTCTCTCAAAAATAAATAACCATGAAAAAATATATATTAAGGGGCGCCTGGGTGGCTCAGTTGGTTAAGTGTCCAGCCCTTGATTTTGGCTCAGGTCATGATCTCACAGTTTGTGAGTTTGAGCCCCAAGTTGGGCTCTGTGCTCACAGTGCACAGCCTGCTTGGGATTCTTTCTCTTTTTCTCTCTCTTCCCTTCCCCTGCTCACACGCTTGCTCTGTCTCTGTAAAAAATAAGTGGATAAATTTTTTAAAAATAATATTTTTAGTTGAAATTGAAACGTGCATTCAATGTAACAGTAAGGTGGCACAGTGCGTGTGGAAATGCTATGAACTTTGCAGTGATAGTTGAGGTACTTAATAGCATCTTGTGCATTTTCTCCTCTACGATCTACATCCTGCACCAGTGGTTTAATCATACGTATGTGTGCCTTGCTAGCACCCCCGTCTGCACAGAGGGAGAAAGGAGGCTCAGATGGAGTAATGTCATTACTCTGCTGGAGTAAACTGACCGTTTGTTCCTTGACAGCCAAGAAGCTAGGTGAAACTCAAGTGGAAATGTCCTTTCCTGAGGACCCCTGCCCTCTAACAGCTGGTTTTGTTCATTCTTAATGGGATGGGGATAGCCCTGCAGGTTTACTTTTTTCTCCTTAAAAATTTGTCTTCCTTGGGACCCAGGTCGGCCCCTGGGTGTGGGGAGGCGGCAAAGCCTCCTAGTTTAAAGATGACTAGGGGTCTTGGAGGCAGATCCAAAAGTACAAAAATCCTAACTGTGTCCTGTACTGGCTCCTTCAGGGTCCTTCATGTTAGCAGACTTCATTTTCCTCCTGTCAGTTAGAGGTGAGAGAATATCTTCCTTTTAGGAATTGAAGGAGGATTAAATAACCACAGTGAATGAGGAGCGAATAATGTAACGTAATGTATGTACACCTAAGGACGTGGTGCCTGGCACAGTGTTGAGTGGTCAGCTACCGTCATCACTAGTCTTAAGTCTGTTGCATGCTCTCTGCATTGTGTATAAAAACCATCTCCAGAGATTTTTCTGGCCTGCTTGCTGAATACTTTTCTTGGATAGTGACTTGATTTTTTTCTCTTAAATTCTGTCTTGTTTATAGGCAGACAGCCAAGTGGACTTGGTCCGGCAGCATTTCTATGAAGTATCCCTGGAGTATGTCTTCAAGGTGCAGGAAGTCCAAGAGAGAAAGATGTTTGAGTTCGTGGAGCCCGTAAGTAGATGCTCAGGGTTTTATGGTGTGCCCCGACATTGGCCCCCAGCCCCTATTCCACTGCCTAGATTACAAAATGCTCCAAGCTGTTAATGAAGAGGTGGACCAGCCCTGGTGCTTTGGCTTCTGCTAAGTCACGGTGCTTTGTCGGCCTGTCTGCCCTGGATTGTCCCCAGTGGCCATTCTTGTGCATCCTAGCAGAAGTGATAGTGCTTCCTCCAGCCCCACTGTGTTGTGCTAATTGGTTTCTCCGTGCAAGTAGGGCAGGGGGAGGAGGTTTTTTTTTTTTTTTTTCCCCCCCACGGGGAGAAGTTTTCATGTTGCCCAGCAGTCGTGATTACACCTTAACTTTTCACCCCCCCCCACCCTTTTCCTTTGTCCCTCCAATAATCCAAACATAGTAGTTGCCCAAGGAAAAAGGGGAATGTCCATGCCTCCTTCTTGTTGTTAGCTGAGTTCAAAGCCCCTCCACCCTCCTTCCTTGCATTAAAAGGCAGTATATAAAGTGATTATTCACAGTAGTCGGTTATAGCTGAGTAGCAGGGGGATTGGATCATGATGGGATTTGGATTTAGTCATTGTGTCCCAGTGGGTATGAAAGATTGTAGTGTGGAAACCAGTCTGGCTTTAGTTGAGGCCACCTTAGCATGGGTGTGATTTCATGCCATGGTGGTTCTGTCCTGTCTTGCTGTGGCACTCAGAATACACAGTACAAAGATGTTATGGAAACATCGAGAGAGCATGGGGCCTCAATTTCAAACTCCTGCAGACCTTGCATTTTTCATTGAAACTGCAGCCTCTGATTTAGACCCAAGCTTAGGGTCTCTCTAGACTCTTACCTAGATTTCAGAAAGTGATTTTCTTAAGCAAATAATAAAACCATAAGAAACCAAAAGGGATGCTTGGATGGCTCAGTTGGTTAAGCATCCGACTTCGGCTCAGGTCATGATCTCACGGTTTGTGAGTTCGAGCTCCGTGTCGGACTCTGTGCTGACAGCTGGCTTAGAGCTTGGAGCCTGTTTCAGATTCTGTATCTCTCCCTCTCTCTGACCCTCCCCTGCTCATGCTGTCTGTCTGTCTCTCTCTCTCTCTCTCTCTCTCTCTCAGAAATAAATTTAAAAAAACATAAAAAAAAAAAAAAAGAAACCAAAAGAAAATAACCACTTGTTTTAGTAAAGAATATTCTGTGCTCCATTTCTAATTTATAAAATTTTGGGATACTTTTTAGGCATGTAAACCTGGTACTAGTTTGATCAGACTGTAGGTGGCTTTGGAATCTGATACTTAGATTTTTTACTGTAGAGGAACTGTGATTTTGGGATTTCATTCTCAGGCACTTCATCTGGCAAATTCTTTTTAAAATTATTTATTTTGGGGGGACTGGGTGGCTCAGTCGGTTGAGTATCCAACTTCAGCTCAGATCATGATCTCACAGTTCATGAGTTGGAACCCTACGTCGGGCTCTGTGCTGACAGCTCAGAGCCTGGAGCCCACTTCTGATTCTATGTCTTCCTCTCTCTCTGCCCCTTCCCAGTTCATGCTCACTCTCTCTTGCTCTATCAAAAAAAAAAAAAAAAAAAAAACTTAAAATATTTATTTTTGGAAGAGCTCAAGCAGGGAAGCTGCAGAAAGAGGGGAACAGAGGATCCAAAGTGGGCTCTGCGCTGATAGGCTAACAGCAGTGAGCCTGATGTGAAGCTCGAACTCCCAAACCCTGAGATGATGATCTGAGTCAAAGTCAGACGCTCAACTGACTCAGCCACCCAGGCGCCCCTGGCAAATTTTTTAAGATCCTTAATTACCTCAGTCTTCTTATCTGAATATTAGAGACTTGAGAGCCAGCTTCCTGTCGAGCACTGGTCTCTGTCACAGTCTCCGGTCAAATCCCCATGTTTTTGCAGAGTGTGTGGTGGGGGAAGCCATCCGACAGGGAAAATGAGTTTATTGATTGCCCTGCTTAGGACACAGAGGTATTAAAGCCAGCTTTTCAGTGAATGGTTTGCTGAAGACTATTTCCTGTGGTCTGCGCAGGCACTCAAATGCTGTCACAGAATTAGCTTTGGGCGTCCTTAATTGATTTTACCAGAATTTCTAGAGGAAAACAACAGTGATTGTAATAATCTTTAGCTGCCCATTGATAGTATTCTACAATAGCCTAATTTTGATGTATTGGATTTTAATTGACCCGTCTCAGTTCTTTGAGGTGGTTTTTGTTGGTGTTGTCCTTGTAGATCTCCCAGTAGGTGCTCCTCGTGAGTCAGGTACTGTGTCTGTTAGCTTTTGCTGGGTAATAGCACAAAATCCCATGCAACAGTAGACATGGATTTCTCATGAATGTGTGGGTTTCATTCCAGCTAGTCTGGACTTGGCTGGATGACTGCTGATCTGGGTGGGCTTTCTTCATCCTCCATTTCTTTTTCCTCTTCCTTCCTTCGTTTCTATGTTTGTGTGTGTGTGTTTTTTTTTTTTTTTTAAAGAGGACATCAGGATGTCCAAACAGACACATGAAATGATGCTCAGCATCACTCATCATCAGGGAAATACAAATCAAAACCACACTGAGATACCATCTCACGCTGGTCAGAGTGGCTAAAATGAACAAATTGGGACCCTAGATGCTGGTGAGGATGTGGAGAAACGGGCACTCTCCTACACTGTTGGTGGGAATGTAAACTGGGGCCGCTCTGGAAAACAATATGGAGGGTCCTCAAAAAATTAACAGTAGAACTCCCCTATGACCCAGCAATAGCACTGCTAGGAATTTACCCAAGGGATGCAGGAGTGCTGATGCATAGGAGCACAAGAACCACAATGTTAATAGCAGCAATCTCAACAATAGCCAAAACATGGAAAGAGCCTAAGTGTCCATCAACAGACGAATAGATCAAGAAGATGTGGTTTATCTATACGATGGAATACTCCATGGCAGTGAGAAAGAATGAAGTCTGGCCATGTGTAGCAACATGGGTGGAACTTGAGAGTGTTATGCTGAGAGAAATAAGTCAGGCAGAGAAGGACAGATACCATATGTTTTCACTTATAAGTGGAACAGGAGAAACTTAACAGAGGACTATGGGGGAGGAGAAGGGGAAGAAACAGTTGGGAAGAGGGAGGGAGGGAAATGATGAGAGACTCTTGAATGTTGAGAACAAACTGAAGGCTGATGGGGGTGGGGAAGAGAGGAAAGAGGGTGATGGGAATGGAGGAGGGCACTTACTGGGTTGAGCACTGGGTGTTATATGGAAACCAATTTGACAATAAACTATAAAAAATAAATGTATAAAAAACACATTCAGTTCAGTTAAAAAAAAAATCCTGCAAGGAACAATTCTTCTTGTTTCTGACACCCATTTGTAGTATGTCAGTATCTTGAGTGTTTGAGAGGCAGTATGATGTCATTGGTAAGGGTTCCAGAGCTGGACTGCCTGAATTGAAATCTCGGCCCAGCCATTCTAACTGTGTGTTCTTGGGGAAGTTACTTAGTTCTCTGAGCCATAGTTACTCATCTGCAAAATGAGTATATTAATACCACCTGTCATATAAAGATGTGAAGAGGAATCACTTAGTTTACTCATGTATGATGCTTAGAATACAGCTAACCTAATTGGCACCCAGTTAGCAATCACTTTTTATTCTAAGAGGAATATGTAAGCTTCCTTCACTCTGGGTCTCCTTAGATGAGCCTACATGACAAGTGCCAATATCAACAGGGCCTGCCTATTTTAATCTAAAATATCTTCGTAAATCTGAATGTGTTTACTTACTGATTACCAGAGAAATGGCTGAAGACCCCTTTGCTGTGTCTGAGGATTTCAAAGCCTTATTTGAGAAGCAGGATGTATGTAGTAGAGAGGCCTTCGAGGTAGCAAGCAGCTCAGAGCCAGGTTGGACAGGAGGGAGGATGTGTGGGAAGAGCCCAAGGGATGTAAAGAGTGGAAATCCTTTGTGGTTTGTGAATGTTTCCTTGGCCATGCACTGAGGCACCTGGAGAGCTAATGAAAAACGATGTCTGGCCCCTTGTTAGGATGAAGATAAAGTGAGAGGAACTTGCCCAAAGTGAAATTAAATGGGTGGTTGAAAGGCTGGACGTAGAATCCACATATTCAGCCTTCAGTGTTTTTACAGAAGTTCTTGTTTCTTGACCCACCAACTATGGGCTGGTCAGTGCTTTAGGAGGAGCTGTGGTTAGCGGGAGAGATTGATCAAAACCCTGCTGATTAGATCAGTGGTTGTCACAGTTTTAGAAAAGCAGGCACTCAGGCTGTAGCCCAGACCCCAAAATTGAGCGTGGGACCCAGTAATGCCTATTTCAGTCAACCCTTTATGGTGATTCTGTTCCATATTTAAGTTTGAGCCCCTGGCCAAGACTGTGCAGAAAACCGTGAAATAACAATTGAGGATTCGGTGAAGCGGTGTCGTATGCTAATAATCACTTCACCTACATACGGTGATCCAGTCCTTATACTGTCTCTGAGCGTAGGTCATTTCTGTTTTATATCCATTTTCAGCTGGAGAAATGGCAGCACATTTATTCTCCAAGGGGACATCTGCTACCTAGCAGGATGTGAATAGTCTGGCTCTTAGTCTGTACAAAACAGTATTTGATTGCTTACAGGTGGAAAGGAAACCAGCAAAAAATGTACTGAACTAAGTTGCTGGGGCACCTCTGTGGGTATTTGTATTTTGAGTCGGTTGTAGTCAGGGGAATCTGCCTGGAATTCAAGGAACCTCCATGCCTATTGACTATGTTCATTTGTTTCTTAGAAAGTAACTGCAAGTACCAGGATGTTACTGACCTTCAGAAAAAGAAGCAAAATTTTAGTGTTCCAAGAAAGAAAATTCAGACTTCTGGGACCTAAACCATATTTTTGTGTGTGTGCCTTTATTTTCTTCCTGAAATACTAGATGTCCTGGGGAGTTTGGATTACACATAATGACATACCCACTTCTTGAAGGTGAAGCCACGTTCCCTGAGTTGTCATAATTGAAAGTAACCAAGTACTGAGGAGAACGCATTCCCTATGTTCATCAGGCGCTGCATCTTCTGTGTTGGACCTTGCAAATAATTCTTGGGCTATGCATTCCCTCCCGCCCTTGCTCTTCTGCCCCAGTGCAGGTCGTCATTTTCCTTTTGATTTGTTGGATCCTTTCTTGGGCTTCCCCCATCCCCAGTCTGATCTTGATACTGCCACCACAGTGCATCTCCTAACACATCAGTCTTGCTGAACAGCTGCTGTCAGCATGCATGTACTAAGCGTATTACACAGACGATCTAGGTCTTCACCACAACCCAGTCCAATAGGAGGTAGCATTAATATCCTCCTGGAAAAGAGGAGTTACAGGGCCAGCCCAGCATTTCATTATTCTCCTGTCTGTCCTTCTCTTTGTCATGTGAATGAATGATTCTTAGTTATTGTAATCGTTGGTGAGAGCTGTCATAACAAAGTACCACTAGCTGGGTTCTCAGAACAGAAATTTATTGCCTCTCATATTTGTAGAGGGTGGAAGTCCCAGATCAAGGTGTTAGGAGGGCCATGCTCCCTCTCAAACCTGTAGGAAAATGATCTTTGCTTGCTTCTAGCTTCTGTTAATTTGCTGGCAGTATTTGGCATCCTAACCATAAAGGTGCTCTAAAGGTGTCTTCTCTCTGTGGGTTTCTCTGTTCAAATACTGTATCCCCTTTTTGTGACAACACCAGACATTTTATATCAGGGCCTACTGGCCTAATGTTAACTTGATTACCTTCACAAAGACTTTACTTCCAAATAAAATCACATTCTGAGCTATTGGGGTTAGGGCTTCAACATCATTCTTTTTTTTTTTTTTGTCAGGGCTGGGGGAACACAATTCAGCCTCTAACAATAGCTTTATTGTACGCATGGAAACCATCTAAATTTAGCAGATAGTCTAGAATGATGCAGCTGTCACTAAAGGAAGCAGTTACATTTTTACTTACTTAAAAATACATGTAGCTTATGTTGTCTGGTAGGAAATAGAAATAGATTTTTCTTAGTTACTTTCTGAGGAAAACAAGGATGGGGGAAGAAGACAGAGGGAGGTAGAGAAGGTCTTTCTTTGGTATTTCCTTTGTCATGCTGTGATTTTGCTTTGCTGACTGTTCAGGGAGGAGCCCGTGTGGATGTGCTGCTTCACTGCCGGCCAAGGTGGGGCTCCCACGAGCTTTTCCCCTGTGGGTTTGAGTACGAGAATTTCTTTGAGGCAGATACATGATCCCGTCTCTGGGGTCTTTCTGTGGGCCTCGCCCACCCACCAGGAAGTGGTCTTTCATTTCCCACTGGGTGATAGATTCAAAGGTTGGTGCCTTGTGTGGGGAGGGGATGTCAGGAGGTGGGGGAGAGGAAGAGAGATGTTGCCAGGGGAGGAGGGAAGTGGGCCAAAGATAACAATATCTATGGAATCATTTCCCATCGACAAATGGACAATGAAGCATGATACCAAAGGAAGTGAGAACCAAAATAAATACTAGTAGCTCTCTGCCTTTGGAGCCCTTGTGTGCATGTCCAGGTGGTGTGTTTGTGAGCTTCTAGAGCATATTTAATTACCTTGGGCGCGAGAGGCCCTGTTGACTTTAAGTGGAAGATAAATCAGAGTTAATAGGAGGAATGACTTTAGAATTAGCTGCTTATCTTCTGCATTACTCTCCAGGAGAGGATGGTTCAATGCCTTGGAAAAGTGATGGGCACAGCTTTTGAGGACGGGTGGGGTGGGGGAAGGAAGAGACCAGAAAAAACAGTTTTCATTGTGAACACTGACGCTAGGTTTGGCTTAAGAGCTCCTTGTTCATTAATGGAGTCCTGTAGGAGGAAAAACATGAGCTTTCCTTTCAAAAATGTATTTTATAAAGAGCGAGTTCAAAAGCTTCTATCATCTTTGAAGAATTCATTATTAGGCTTTGGTGATTCTGTGTGGTGTACCCCCCTTTCATTGATTTGTGTTGGTGATCTGTATATGGTATCACTAGATATTTTTTGAAACCGAGGACCCAGCTGGGCCTGCTTCCCGACCTCCCATGAGGATGTGAGGGGACAGTTGCTCTGGGGATAATGGCGGTGAGAAGTCAGAATTTCCTATTATTAAAAGCTGGGTTTTGCCTTACTTCACAGTACAGAGCTCTTTGATTAAGTGGGCTGGGTGTGTGACTTAGTCTAAAGATCATTCTTTCCTCTGAACTAAGGAAGAGTAGCACATACCTTATGGCTTTCCAATCCTATCACAAGCCAGCTGAGTTCTCTTTGCCATCATTATTAGCGCTGCCTCTCAGAAGAAGAGAGTTAGGTGGGGGGAAAAAAAAATTTATGTTTAATTACTGAAGGTATGTTCTTTTAGGGACTGGAAAACAATATAAAGCAAAGCAACTGTATCTTATTTATATTTATTTAAATCGAAGTTAACATATAGTGTAATAATGATTTCAGGAATAGAATTTCGTGATTCATCACTTACATGCAGTACCCAGTGCTCATCCCAAGCGCCCTCCTTAATGTCCTTTGCCTGTTGAGCCTCTTATGGTTTGTCTCCCTCTCTTTTTATCTTATTTTTCCTTTTCTTCCCCTGTGTTCATCTGTTTTGTTTCTTCAGTTCCACACATGACTGAAATCCTATGATATGTGTATTTCTCTGACTAATGTCGCTTAGCATAATACCCTGTAGTTCCATCCACATTGTTGCAAATGGCAAGATTTCATTTTTTTTTTCACTGCTGAGTAGTATTCTATTGTATGTATATACCACATCTTCTTTATCTACTCATCAGTCAATGGACACTTCTGTAATTAGGCTATTGTCAACAGTGCTGCTAGTAAACATTGGGGTGCATGTGCCCCTTTGAATCAGCATTTTTGTATCCTTTATATAAATACCTAGTAGTACAGTTGCTGGGTTGTAGGGTAGCTCCATTGGTAATTTTTTGAGGAGGCTTCTTACTGTTTTCCAGAGTGGCTGTACCAATTTGCATTCCCACCAGGAGTGCAAAAGAGATCCTCTTTGCCTGTATCCTCACATACTTGTCAACATCTGTTTAAAATAACTGTTGTATCTTGATATGTAATATGTGTTGGATGCAGGTCAGTGAGATCAGAGTGAACCTGTCAGGCCTTGTGAGTTGGCAATGAAAAGTTCAGGTCAGAACAGCCATGGTCCCCAAATGCAGTAGGACTGAGCTTATAGCCTTGTTTAGACTTTTATTACAATCCTTTCTTCACATTGAGATTTGGAACTGAGGCAGGATGCATAGAACTTGGGAAGGGGCAAGGGAAACCTAACAAGAGTAGGTTTGCATGTCTGTCCTGGGAGGAAATATGGCAGGAACATTTGTTGAGCCTGGAAAAGTGAAGGCTGGCAGGGCTCAGGGTGGGGATATTAATAGTGTATGAAGGTGTGTTGTGAGAACCATGCTGAACAGATGTTTTCATTCTACAATGAAGACAAGACTAAACAGTGAATAGACTTACTACCTTTTAGCCTGGGGGGATTTAAATGAGAATTTAGGAAAGCCATCATAACTGAAAATGTGGAAACATGGGCATATTTTAATAAAGGCTTCCATAGCATTTACCTGCTTAAGAGAAAGTGCAGGAACACACTTGAGCTGAAGCCTGATCTGGGTGGGTTTTTTTTTTTTTTTTAATTTGACGACCTGTTACACTGCAGACTTGGGACATACAGATTCCTTTTCTCCTCTCTTTGTTGCCTCTCAGGATAACCATACTTTTCTGCATGGTAGCCTGATACAACAGATGTATTTGAAGGAGACTGAGTTGGACTTGGAGACTGGTCTTCAGTTTCTGAAGAAGTGATTTTCTTAGAAAGTGCTGAGGCTCAGAGTGAGAGCTTGGATGTCGGTGCCAAGGAAACCTGGTTTCGAATCCTGATTGTTACTTTATCTTTTGGAGCAAGTTACTTCATGTTTCTGAACTTGCTTAATATTAAAATGGGGACAATAATAGTACTTACCTTCTGGGTCGTTGTGAGTTTGCAGTCAGAGCAGGCATATGCTGTTACAGTGCTGGGCATACAAGTAGCACATAATTCTAGGCTTTCAGACCAAGGTTGGGAACACAGATAAAACTATGATACCCCTTCTGCATGTTTAAGTGACCTGTGCCCTCCTTCCTTCATTACAGCTCCTGGCGTTCTTGCAAGGACTCTTCACTTTCTATCACCATGGCTATGAACTGGCCAAGGACTTCGGTGACTTCAAGACACAGTTGACCATTAGTATACAGAACGTGAGTGGGCTAAGGGGCAGGCTTCCTTTCCCTGGTTGAGGAAAGGAAAGAGCAAAGTGTGGGTCTCACTGCATAGAGATCACTTATCTGGATTGGAATGCAGACAAGGAGGATGGGTCTCCCTTGAGTTCAAAGGGCAGCTGGGGGCAGGCATTTCTAGGGTGCTTGGTGGCCCCAGGTTAGAGCCTCATACTTTTTTCCATTATTTCTAAGCACTATTTATGTTCTCGGAAGTCCTGCTGATATTTTTGTTTGAAATATGTAGCACCAGGATCAGGATTTCCTTTGGCAGTGGAAGGCCCAGACTCCCTTCTGTGTATCTAGCTGGCTGGCCCCAAGAGCCTTGGAGTGTGTTCAGGGGATGGGGGTGGGGCACACATGCTGGCCTCCAACTCAAAGGATGTGTTCTGTTCAACTTTCAATAAGACCAGCAGGAAATCCAAGTCAGAGCCGTTTACTCCCAGTCTCCTTCACCAAATTTTAATGACCAAGATATTTTGATGTTCAGAATCCTGCGAAGGGCCCTTTGGTTAGCAGTTAGTGGGCCCAAGCCCCTTCTTCACTATGTGACTGGCTTTGTTAGTCTGTATGTTGATTTGGTCTCCAGGTGATCCTGTGTAGCAAAGAAACCCAAGGGTGTCTTTGTGGGTTGTATTGCATGGGTTTAGAAGCCTAGAGCCTTTTCCACTATGGGTCTCTGTGTTGTTTTGGAAAACAGGAAGTTGCAGAGTCTCGGATAAGGTTTCACAAAGCACGGCTTCCCCTTAGGCCACCTTCCTCCCAAGGTATACTCTGAAGTGGAGGTTTACATGTGGCAGGTTTATAGGGGAGCAGGGTTAGCAGAATCCCCTGGAAGAAGGAGGGCAGCAGATCCCTGCAGGAGAAGTTGAGCTGTGAGGCCTTAGCCAATGCCGTGGGGCGCCCCGGAGCTGGCATGGACCTACAGAGTATGTGAAAAGAGGCGAGGATGCCACGCTTTAGACCCCTTCTCCCTTTGCCCCTAGACTTGACTAGTCCTGGGGTACAGGCTACCCTGGAGGAAAGGACTTAACTTGAGTGAAGCAGCTCCCTTTTCAGGAGGGAATCATCTATGAAACATCAGCAAGTGATATTCCTTATAGCTCGAGAAGTAAGTTCCTCTGTCTTGAGGGGGACTTTGAGGACCATTTCCTCTGAACCACCTGAATCAGAATCCCTTGGGATGCTTATTTAAAACTGCACATTTCTGGGTCCAGAGGTACTAAATTAATCTTTAGGGGTGAGGCCTGGACATTTGTATTTTCTCCACATTTTCCAGGTGATTTTGATGGTCTTGAGCATTTGAAACTCCTTCTGGTTTAGGAATTTAAGGTCAAAGGATGCTTCTCAAAAGTGAATATTTGCCTAATTCCTAGGTGTCTGAAAGTTCCTTATCTGTTTTTAGATCTAAGGGTTCAATAGGCTGATGTTTTGAATTGTTACAGTTAGGAATAAGGTTTCATTTCTTTGATGTGAATAAAGTTCCTTTCATCCTAGACAAGAAATCGCTTCGAAGGCACGAGGTCGGAAGTGGAATCACTGATGAAAAAGATGAAGGAGAATCCCCTTGAGCACAAGACCATCAGTCCCTACTCCATGGAAGGGTACCTGTACGTTCAGGAGAAACGTGAGTGCCAGTGATGAGCCATAGCTTAGGGTACACTCAGGCCTTTTAGCCAGGGTGTGGAGGGTATATGTAGTAGTGCCTGGCTTACAGCAGTGGTTCTGTAAACAGAGAGGTGGGTGAATGAGAGTAGCTTATAGTTGGATGTTTTTAAGGGAAAGATGTTCATAAGGTCTTGTCTGCCTCCAACTGTGGTGTTCCATTTTCTGTATCCATGGGAATTCCCTTAGGAACCTAGAATTCATTGAGGCTTTCTGGTGGGTTTTTTTTTTCTCTGTAATGTCACACTTGAGGTGCCTGCATGCTTAGCATGACTTTATCTGTCACACGCTTGGCATAGAGGCTTTGGAAGGGCCTTGCATGCTAGACCTTATTTTCTGTCAGTCATCATATCTTTGGGTGGATTTAATATGGAGGGATTTTGTTTCCTTTAAGACTGGTTTCAGCCAGGACCAAACAGTCATGATTTAGGCCCTCTCCTACCTCTCTTCAATTGCTGTCATCTCAGCACTGAAATTTTATGAAAAGTTGAAACACACGCTCACTCCAAGAGGTAGGAAGAGCAATCCGTTGTCCTGCCAGTGTGCTGTCAGGGAAAGAAATGCCAGGTGCTGCTAACCCAGACTTTTCTGTGATGAGTCACAAACTCCCGCTCTAGGCCTGGGGAGAGACTATGCTTTGAGGGTTGCACTTTGAGACTTAGCTCATGAAGTGCTAGGGAGAAGAGAAGGTAATTTTTTTTCTTCATTGGACAGTTCTCCTGGTCTTCTTTCCCTACTCTGTCAGTTGGGCATGTTACTCCTTCCAGAGTTTTGCTGGTTTTGTGCTCTTTACTGCCCTTCTGTTGTCTCAGGGTGAAGCAAATGTCTTCCCTCTTAGGGGCTTCCTGATGGAACAGAACACTTGATTTCAGGGATGGTGCTAGCCAGTAATTCCTCAGAAATTTGCCTGGGTTTTGTACTGTTGCCTGGTCACGTGCCTGGGGGCAGTCGTGAGGTTTGAGGTTCGAGGCATTGGTTTTGCGTCCTTTACTCTTACATGGATGAGCTTGTTGAGGTTTGTAAGAGATAGAAGTTGCTGTAGTGGTGTTTTGTGTAGGCCTCAGTGTAAGGGGTTACCTTTTTTGTCCGATGAGATCTACCCCAAAAAGTTTAAGGTCACCTTTGAATATGTGTTCACTTGTAATACTTAATGTATTAACATTCTTCGCCTATATATATGAAATCTGCACTCTCAGGTTTGTTCAATTTTATTCAAACACTTCACATGCTTTTTGAAACATGAATGTCTTTGTTAACATCAGAAATAGATTTTAATTTTCTAACACACTAGTCTAGAGCATACCAATGGGATACAGCTCTTTTCATTTGCACGTTTTGGTAACTTATCACTTAGATATATGAATTTTGACCTTTTCCCCACAATTCTGGCATTCGTTTACTTTGTGGGTGTGTATGTGTATATGTGTCACAGTCAAAGGGACCCACATTTCCATTTTCTCTGAACCATTTGAGAATAGGTTGCATGTGTCATGCTCCTTTACTTGAGTGTATATTTTTTTTTAAACCATTTTATTTATTTATTTATTTCTAGGAGACAGAGAGAGAGAGAGACAGCGTGAGCAGGGGAGGGTCAGAGAGAGAGGGAGATACAGACTCTGAAATAGGCTCCAGGCTCTGAGCTGGCAGTCAGTACAGAGCCCGATGCGGGGCTCGAACCCATGAACCATGAGATCATGACCTAAGCGAAAGTCGGACGCTTAACCAGCTAAGCCACCCAGGCACCCCTAGTGTATATTTTTTTAAAATGTATTTTGAACAAAAGAATGTTCTTTTATGTAACCACAGTATAGTTACGATACCCAGCAGTTAACACTGATAAGATATTGAGTATAAATGACAGTTCATGTTCCAATTGTGTCAATTGTCCCTGAAATGCCCTTATAGAGCGTTGTCTTTTCCTTCTGTGTAGATAGGATTTTGTACTCCGTTTACTTCTGACGAGTTGAGACTCCTTTACTCTGTAACAGTTTCTCAGCTTTTTTTGGTATCTCAGACGTTGATATTTTTGAAGAATATAGACTAGTTCTTTCTAGAAATTTCTTCACTGTGGGTTTGCCTAGTGTTTCCTGATGATTAGATTCAGGTTAGGCGTCCCTTTTCAAATCCTCCGTGAAGTTACGTGGTGTTCTTCTCTGGGTCCCACATCCAGCGGCACAGGATGGCCATCTGCCCCTCAGTGGTGATGTTAGTTTTGGTCACTGAGTCAAGGTATTATTTGGTTTATCCACTGGATAGTTACTGTTTTTCCCTTGTAGCTAATTAACAGTCTATGGGGAGACCCTCGAAGATGATACCTTTCTCGTTGTCAAACATTGCCCTCCATAGAGCTAGCATCCATCGGCAATTCTTGCCTAAAGGGATTGTCACTATGATGGTTGCAAAATGGTGATTTCTCAGCTCTGGCACTCTCTCTGCATGTGTTTGTTGCCATTTAGTGTACTGCAAGCAAGCGACCCCCCTCCCTTTCTCATTCTCTCTTCTCCTTTTCCATCCATCTGTCCACCTCTAAAAAATATTTTTCAAATGTTTATTTATTTAGAGTACACAAGTGTGGGTGGGGCAGAGAGAAAGAGAGAGAGAGAGAGAGAGAAAGAGAGAGAGAGAATCCTAAGTACACTGTCAGCGTGGAGCCCGACATGGGGCTTAATCCTGTGAACCGTGAAATCATGACCTGAGCTGAAATCAAGAGTTGGACACTCAACCTCCTGAGCCACCCAGGCGCCCCTGTCCATCTTGTTATTGTCAGAATGGATTTAAGGATTGCTTAAGGATGCTCAAAGTGTCTATAAAATACAGCATATTTGGAATCCTTGCATTGTGCTATCACTGGAATTTGTTCCATAAGCCACAGAAATAAATGAGAATGGTTGGTATTTTTGTCTTTGATGCTTCAGTGTAGAGACTTAATATATATTTTTTTATTTTTTAGTTTCCTAATTGACATTTCACACTTGAAACGGGCACTGATACCCCGAAAAAATAATGATTAAATCTTTGTTAAATCTCATGTTATTACTTAAAAAAAAAACAAAAAACACCCATTTCTGTTCTGTGATCTCTACAGGCATCTAAGGCGAGTGTTGACTGAGGACCTTGGAGGCTAATAGGCTAGTTCTGCCTTCTTCCTCTAATAATATTTTGTTATTCAAAATAAATTAATTGGCTGACCACCAGGGAAAATCAGGGACTATCAGGATTTGAGTGTAAGGCCTCTGTCTGTTTTCTGAGGATTAGTATTGAGGGACAGACCCCTTAGATTACCTTTGGGTATTGATTTATAGTCAATTCCATTTACATTTCTGTGTCACAGTTTGCCTGTCTGCTTTTCAGATCATCCTGAGTTGTGCTCAAGTACAAATGAGGGGTTTGACAGTAGATCAGAACCCCTCTGTGTCTTTGCAGAGAGTTGCACAGCAGCTGTGGGAAGCATGAAGTCATCATACCAGACGGGGACAGTGACGGGCACTTTGAGAAGCTCTTCTCTGTTCTTGCCTCAGTCATCTTTCCCATGTCAGGAGAGAAAGGAATTGTCAAGAGTGCAGATTGATGATGAGAAAGTGAATTAATTTCCCTAGGGAACCTCTCTTTCCCTTATATTTTAAGACCCATTGGATGTAGCATTTAGTGGGAAACAGTCTTCCTTGGCCTCTGGGGAAAGCCCTGGGTCATTTCCATCTCCAGCCGTTGGTATCATATTTCTGCCTCTTCCAGCTTAGTTGGTGGAGATTATATTGCCCCTAAAAAAACGCTTGAAGGGTAGATGAGCGTTGCGGATTATGGGTTGTGTGTGTGTGTGTGTGTCCAGTGTGCACTGGACACAGAGATGCTTCATGGGAAATATTACCTTGCAGGTCACTTTGGAACTTCTTGGGTGAAGCACTACTGTACATATCAACGGGATTCCAAACAAATCACCATGGTACCATTTGACCAAAAGTCAGGAGGAAAGGGGGTGAGTTCATGTTTTAAATTTCATGCTTGATTTGCTTGGCTAAAATAGGTTGATAATAATGCTTGTGATAAGTAACATCTTCAGTGTTAGGCTGTAATTTTCTTTTTTAAGAAACTTTCTCATTGAAATATGATACATAGCGTGAAATTAGTGTTGGGTATACAATATAATGATTCAACAATTGTGTATATTACTCATTGTTCATCACAATAAATGTACTCTTAATCCCCTTTATTTCTTCCACCCATCCCCGCTGGTAACTACCAGTTTGTTCCTCATATTTAAGAGTCTGCTTTTTGTCCATCTTTCTTTTTCTTTGTTGGTTGATTTGTTTTGTTTCTTAAATTGCACATGTGAATGAAATCATAGGGTATTTGTCTTACTCTGACTTAACTTCACTTAGCATTTTACCCTCTAGATCCATCCATGGTGTTGTCAATGGGAAGATCTCATTCTTTTTCGTGGCCGAGTAATATTCCTCTCACTGTCTATTTATCTTTCTTATCTATTTATCTATCTCTCTCTCTCTCACATCTCCCGTAGCCATGTATCTATCGATTGGTTGCTTCCATATTTTGGTTATTGTAAATAATACTGTAGTGAGTAGGTGCATTTAGCTTTTTGTATTTGGTATTAGGATTTATTTTCTTCGTGTAAATCCCCATTAGTGGAATTACTGGATCATATGGCTACTCTACTTTTAGTTTTCTGAGGACTGTCCATACTGTGTTCCACAGTGTCAGTACCAGTTTGCATTCCCTGAACAGTGCACAGGGGTTCCTTTTTCTCCACATTCTTACCAGTCATTGTAATTTCTTGTGCTTTTTTTTTATTTTAGTCATTCTAAGAGATGTGAGGTGATATGTCACTGTGGTATTGATTTGTATTGCCCTGATGATTAGTGATGGTGAACATCTTTTCATGTGTCTGCTACCCATTTATATATCTGTTTAGGTCTTTTGCCCATTTTTAAATCAGATTATTTATTGGGTATTGAGTTACAGAAGTTGTTAAAATATTCTGGATATTAACCCCTTATCAGACACATTATTTGCAAATAACTTCTCCCATTCACTAGGCTGCCTTACCATTTTGTTGGTTGTTTTCTTTGCAGTACAAAGGCTTTTTTGTTGTGGTACAGTCCCAGTAGTTTAATTTTGCTTTGTTACTCCTGCCTGAGGAGACATAGGTAGAAAAATGTTTCTATGGCAGATGACCAAGAAATTACTGCCTATGTCTTCTAGAAATTTCATGATGTCTTGTCTCATATTTAGGTCTTTCATTCATTTTGAGTTTATTTTTGTGTATGGTGTAAGAAAGTAGTCCCGTTTCTTCTGCATGTAGCTGTCCAGTTTTCCCAGCACCATTTGTTGAGGCGACTCTTTTCCCCAATTGTGTATTCTTGGCTTTTTGTTGTAGATGAATCGATCCTGTAGGTGTGGGTTTATTTCTGGGCTCTCTATATCTTGTTCCATTGATCTATATGCCTCTTTTTTTGCCAGTACCGTACTGTTTTCATTACTGCAGCTTTGTAGTATATCTTGAAATCTGAGATTGTGATACCTAGAACTTCATTCCTTTTTCTCAAGGTTGCTTTGCTGTAATTCCCTTAATTTTTTACACAATAGTTCCGGGACAAATCATAACCTTGATGGTAATTAAAGCAAGACAATTATTCTTAGCTATGAGTCCTATTAGAAACTGCAACAAAAAGATTCTTGTATTTCACGTGCAGACGGTTTTAAGTATGTCAGGTGTGTTTAGAGGCTAGGAATTCTTGGATGGGCTCCTCCTGTGACGTTGATGGATGTTGCTCTTACTTGATACCAAGTGAGCTGGTATCACCACGGCTGGTGGTGTAGGTGTCCCTGGGTTTCTGTGGGTCAGGAATTGGGCTCCAGGCTTCTCAGGTAGGGTTCTAATCAGATTGTGGTTGGGGCTGGAACAGTGAGGGATTCAAGCAGCTGAGGACTGGTCAGCCGTGGCTCTCTTCCTTTCCCCTGATCTCCTCCTTCCTCCCCTTCTCTCTTTCCCTCCTGCTCTGGATACTCTCAGGGCCTGTCCATCTGGTCTCTCCATGGGAGATAGTTTGGGTTTCCTCACAGCATGGTGGCCTCAGGGTAGCTCAAGGTGTCAAGAGTGAATATTCCAGCAATGAAGGCTGAGACTGCATGTAGCCTTAGAAGTCATACATCCTTCCTTTCGCTCTGTTGGTTGAAGCAGTCACAAAAGCTCATGGAAGCCCACTCACTGCCCTTGGGAGAGGATGCAGAGTCACAGTTGCACGGCATGAAGGATGTGTGGCATAGAAGCACTCTTGCAGCCAGCTCTGATCGTGTGCTCTGCAGCAGCCTCCCCTGTGCTCCGGCCTTTGTCCTTTCCTCCCAGCTCGCTCACTGCAGCCTGAGTGCATTTCCTCTTCCTGTCATGTGTTTTTTTCTCTGGCTGCTCTTAATGTCTTCTGCTTTTTCCTTTTGGGAGTCATCATTTCATTATGGTGGTCCTAATGGGTAATTTTTTTTTCCTTTTCATTCTCTTGTACTTGGGAATTTGGAGCCTTTCTGTACTTGGGGATTGGTGTAACTTTGAGAAATCCTTAACAGTTACCACTTTGAATTTTGCCTTCTCCCCATATCTTCTTCTGGACATAACACCTTTGGGAGATAGCTCAATATTTTTAAGAGAAATATTTATATTTTTCATCTGTTTGAATCTTCAGACTCCATCCTGCATAATTTCTCTGATTCTGTAGTTTAAGTAATTTTTAAGCTGTGTCCAGTATATTGATAAATTAGTCCTTGGTAAGCATTCCATCTCTGGTCCTCTGTGTGGTGCATTGTGGTACCGTGTGTTGAGTGTGTGTGTGTGGCGGGTGGGGGGGGGAAGGGGGGGAGCTGGGCATTAAAGAAACCAAGAGAACCCACTGGCTTTGAAATTAGACTGCCAGGCTCAGTAATGTTAGATGCATTTGTCATTACTGTCCGTTACTCGGCCAGGCTGCCTCCTTTGTCTCTGCCACTTCCAGTTTTTCTTTCAGGCTTTCTTTTACATGGGCCACCACACAGGAATTGATCAGCATCTTTTCTCCTTGCATGTATTACAGCAACCCCACTTTTATCCTAAAAGCCCTGTTAGTGTTTCTAATCACGGGTGGAGTAATCTCAGGAGAACAACATTGTTCAAATAGAGAAACATAAAGCAATGACAGAATGGGAAGGGATAGTAGGCATCAGCCAGTAGGTGTGCTCTAGTTTTCGTGCAGTGGAAATAGAGTTAGACTCACTTCCTTGCATTGAGGCATAGTCCTTTTCCAGTTCTGTGTAGAGATAAGCTTCACCAAGTTATTCTCGCACACAGTCTTTATTTTGGGGCTTTTTACCTTGTGCTTTCCTAAAGCTTAAAAGAAGAACTCCCTTGTGTTTGGTCTTATCCCACTTGACAGTGAATGGCAGAGACCAACAATGGTGGCTGCCTGGGACTCCTAAGTCCTCAGTGAGGAAATAGTAACCACCTCACTGGGTTGTTAGAAAGTTTATATGAATTAGTACGTACACTCTGGGAGTAGACCTTGACACAAAATGAGTTCTGTATTAGAAGCTTGATGTTACAATAGTTAATTTTCCTAATAAAGTCTTAAAATTTTTTTACATTTTTCTAAGTCCTTATATTATCCTGTATTCTCCTGTTTGATCCGCTTTTCTCCTTCATAAAGGAGGAAATGGCCATCTAGAGTAGAAAATGATTTATAAAGCCATATAGCCCCAGAGGTAGAGAGCCTGTACTCAGACCCTAATTCTGGAGTCTGCATCTCCTGAGTCAGAGTGGCTGCTGCTAGTAACAGTAGTAGTAATAATAATAATAATACATAAATATGTAAAATAATAGCTTTTCATGATGTCACTCTTTACTCAGCTGTAGGGTAGAGGGAATGTGAAGACTGGCCGTCTAGAGGTGATGCCACCTCCATTTGTATAGGAGGGTAAAGTGACATCTTCCGTGTATGTGTTTGTCCAAAGTTCTCCTGGGACGTGGAGGGAATCTTAAAATGGATAATAGGCTTTTTTTTTTTTTTTTTCTCTTTCTCTCTAAATAACAGGCTTATTTACTCCCCTTTCTTGACTTTGCTGTCCATTTTATTTGGATTATTTTTCTTTAAAAGTACCTGCTTTTTTTGTAGCTCTAGGCCAGGAGATGTTCCATCATCTTGCAGACCAGACCCTGTGTGTGGTCAAAGAGAATTCCCCTGTATACTAGCCTCTGAGATGAGGCCGCTCTCCGTGTAAGGTCTGGAGCGGCCCAGTGCTGACCTTGTTCGTTCCCTTGCTTGAACCTCCTCATTTATCTTTCCCTGTGCTCTCAGGCTATGGACCACAATCTGCATAATCTGCCTCTTGATTCCTTTAGATTCTTTGTCATGCCACTTTGTCTTGTGCTATGGGCTTCAGCCATACTGACTAGTTTTCAATTCCTCCCAGGCCGATGGACCCTGACCACAGGGCCTTTCCACCTGCTGTTCTCTACCCCCCAAAAAGATAGTAGATGGAAGTTTTGTGACTATAAACCGTCTCTTGCTAGGTCTTCTGTGTTTTGTGTGGTGTGGTGATGCTAGGGAGTGGTTAAGTTTTGCCATATGCAGTCACATTTCCTATTTCAACAAATTAGGCAAGTTTTCCAATTTTTTCCCTTGTTTAGAGAAAAAGATTGGCAAGGACAAGAGAAACAGGAATACTGAATTTTTTTTTTTTTAAGTTTATTTATTTTGAGAGAGAGAGCTTGTGTGTAAGTACATAGCGGGGGGAGACGGAAAGAGAGGGAAGGAGAGAATCCCTGGCAGGTGCCATGCTGTCAGCTCAGAGCCTGAAGTGGAATGTGATCCTATGACTGTGAGATCATGACCTGAGTTGACACCTAAGAGCCAGATTCTTAACCCACTGAGCCAACCAGGTGCCCCAAGGAACCTTAAATTCTTAGGTGGCAAAAAGAGAAAAAATAGGGACAGAAACCCCTCTGTTTTTAGGCAATAAGAGAGCACTATGCACTGAAACTGTTGGATTCCATTTGTACAATGAGATACGACCCAGCAGTCAAAAGAAAGAAACTCTTGATTGGTACAACAATATAGGTGAATTGCAGAATTGTGCCAAGTCAGAGAAGTCAGAAATAAAAGGGCACATGAGCACATACTGTGTGAGTCAATTCATATAAAATTATATAGAGTATGCACACTAATCTGTATGACAGAAAGCAGATTCCATATTTGCCTGAGGGTAGATAGACTGGGTAGAGGGATAGAATTCAGAAGACACCAGGAAACTTATAGGGGTGATGGAAATGTTCATGAGCTATATTGTGGTGATTTTATGGATATATGCAGATGTTAAAGCTCATAAATTGACCTGTACAGTTATTACATATCAGTTTATACCTCTGCAAAGCTGTTAAAACCTATTTATGGACTGCCTACTCTGTTCTGAGGCTTGTTTGGCCTCAGGGTACATGAAATCAGCAAAAGCTGATAGTCCCTGCTCTCAGGGAGCCTAGAGTCTAATGAAGAGGGAGACATGATTGGAATCGTTGCCCACATCAAAGGCCAATTCCAATATGATCAGGGCTGTGAGGGAGGCACAGTACATGGTACATGTGAACATGTCTTGCAGATATTTGACTTGGTCCAGGAAGGCCTTCCTGAAAAAGTGATGACTGAGCCAAGACCATAGAAACTCAGAGTCAGGAGGCTTGCAGGCCATTTTGTTTAACCGTTATCAAACCTGCAAATTAAATCGGCTCAAGTATTATCAGGAGTTGATCTAGCGGGGGCTGATGCTATACCATCATGATGTGCTAGAAGTAAATTAAAACTAGAGATACTTCATGCTAAGTATAACATGGTTTACAGGTTTTAGATGCATGAAGCTATTGGCTGAGGGAGAGTTTTGGATTAACATTCCACCTTCCTGTGGTCATGAACACTCAGGCTTGAGAAGAAGGAATGATATGATAACTTTTTTTAATTATGTTTTTGTTTTTAAAATTTTTCTTTAATGTTTATTCTTGAGAGAAACAGAGTATGAGCAGGTGAGGGAATGGGAGTGGGATACGCAGAATTGGAAGCAGGATCCTGGCTCTGAGCTGTCAGCACCAGAGCCGGACGCAGGGCTCTAACCCACAAACCATGAGATCATGACCTGAGCCGGAGTCGGACGCTTATCCAGCTGAGCCACCTGAATGATCAGTCTTGCTGATGTGACATGTTTGTTGTATGCTGAAGAGGCACAGAGCATAGCCATTACCAGGCCTCATCTTCATAGCCTATGTGCTCCCAACAGGGAGAAGATGAATCCGTCACCCTGAAATCCTGCACACGGCGGAAAACAGACTCGATTGAGAAGAGGTTTTGCTTTGACGTAGAAGCAGTAGACAGGTGAGTAGCTGTCACATTTTGCTCAGGAACAGATACTACCGAATTTGGATTTTTTTACTTTTTCCATCCATTCAGAGCTTTTCTGTCCTCTGATCCCACTCTACCCCTCCTTCTCTACCCTCCTGCTAATGCTCACTGTGGAGTAGGCCTCAGACCACTTGCTGCTCCACAAGGTTCAGGGTCGCTTCTCCCCGCTTGGACGTGTAGTGGTAAGGTAAAGCACGGAACAAGTTGTACTCAGTTAAAAAAAAAAAAAAAAAAAAAAAAAAAAGACCGCTTTCAGCTACAGCATTTCACATACAACTGTGTGTGCATGCCCGGAAAAAACAGCAAAGCCCTTGTGAAATCGCTTTTTGCAGAGGGAATTGTGCACTGTATTCCTCAATATATACGGAGTCTCATTGAGATGTACCATTTCCTGGTGTTACGCTAGTTTGACAGCATTCCAGTTCTTTGAAACACTTTACTTGGCAACAGGTTAATTCTTTGAGTGAAAGCCACATGTTAAACTTTTTTGTGCTGTCTGGTAAAGATCAGCAGTGCCAATGTTAAAGATCCTTAAATCTCAGCATGAGTCTCCTCTCATGCCATTTAGTCTCTCCCCTTTATTTAAACACACGCACACACACACACACACACACACACACACACACACACAAACACACACCTCATTTTGTCAAGCCAGTACTTCTACTCTTTCTGGGCTGTTTCTCTCTGACCACTCTTTCCTAATTCTAGAAGATGCAGAAACTGAGTGCCTTACAGGGTGTTGGAGGTTTGGAATGCCTTCTTGTGGCATGATGTCTCCCTGCACTGTGTGGCTGCTGGTGGCTGTTAGACCTCTCATGGAGGGAACTGCCCTCTTAGCTTTAATCACAAGCTCCTGGAAACTCACCTTATCTCTTCAGCCCTTAGTCATTACACCTTGGGCTTGGGCTCTCAGGTCAGGCAACTGGGGTCTAAATTTGGATTTTACTGCTTTGTTGCCACGTGACTTTCAGCTAACTACTTAATCTCTCAGGGCCTTGATTTCCTTACCTGGAAAATGAAGATAGTAATAGTCCCTAGTTCCCAGAATTGTAAGGATTCGTGGAGATAATGCACGGAAAATGCTTGGCAGGATGGCAAATAATAAATGCTCAGCAAATTGTTTTTTGTTAATTAGCTTGTCCTGCATGCTCACCAGCCTTGATTATTTTGTAAGGCTAGATTCTAAATGCTGAGAAGTAAACATAATTTATAAAGAGAGTACCCCAGTTGTTAACCTTTTGGAGGATGTGGGAGGGGAGGGGAAGGTGAAAGGGTTGCATTGGGACATAGGTTGAACTGCGGTAGCAAAGGGACTTGCAAAATGTCTTTTTCACACCAAAACTGGTTATTCTTGGTTTAAACAGATCCTAATTCAGGATACTTTAAGCACTTGTATAGATCTCTGTTCTGAGCATGGAATCAAAGGGAATTTGTATCATTGGCGGCCATGAAAGAGGTGTAGAAGATGTCTATGTTTAGAAGCAGTTAGTTGTTTGACTGGCCAACTGGTTAGTTTCTAGAGACTGTCATCTCTTTGTATGGTTATTTGCAAAAGGGCAAGCCTTGCCTCGTAGCTGTCCCTTATTGAAAGTCAGCTCAGAGATGATGTCTGAAGCTGAATGGTTTCCTGTTTTTTTCCTCAGAAGTTTTCCCAGAAGTTGTAGCGAGTTGCTTTTTAGGTAATTAAAACTCAACGTGGTGCCTCCATCTCATTTCCACGTTTCAAATACTTCCTGCCATCTTTGCCCTGTATTATACCCTTAAAAGCTTTTCATTTCCCAATTATAAGTGAAGAGCACGTGTCAAATGGAACATAATCGAGTGGGTTTGGGAAGTGGATTTTTCCCAGGTTGCTGTCTCTGGTTCCCTTAAAGCATGGAGGAGTTTCATTTGTAGCTCAGAAAGAGGCTGCGAAATCTCCTTTGAATAAGCAGAAGGTGAGTGGGTAGTTCTCTTGTATTGTTTATATCTATCACTTTCTGTATGTTATGGTGTTGAGACACTTTAAAAACTTTTTTGGCTGGAGAGAGACCATCCCTTCCAGAGGTAGCCAATTCTTAGAGCCAAGGGTGCAGTCTGGGGCGTGTCCTTGACATGGAAATGAACCAGCCCACAGTCGTGCCTTTTCCACCTGGTCCTTAATCCCCAGTGGGCAACATTCCTCTGCTTTAATCATCTGAGTTCCAGGTACCAGGCAAGGAAGGACACTCCTCTAGCTTAGACTGCCCCCCCACCCCCCAAGTTACTCATACTCGCCCATAAGCTGTTTACCCTTCCTTGCTTTGCCTTTCCTTGGAAACTCCAGTAATGGCCACCACCTGGACTCTTCCATAGCTTCTGCTGCTTCTAACGAGTAGCCTTGTGGGTACCGGTTCTTCCCCACCCCTGCGGCCCTGTTTGGTATGCCATGCATGCATTCTGTTTCCAGGACCTGGGAGTATAAGAAACTTTGTTTTCTTTATTTTTTTTGTAATGTTTTATTTTTTTTGGTAAATGTTTTATTTATTTCTGAGAGAGAGACAGAGACAGACAGCATGAGCAGGGGAGGGTCAGGGAGAAGGGGGGAGACAGAATCTGAAGCAGGCTCCAGGCTCTGAGCTAGCTGTCAGCACAGAGTCCGACGCGGGGCTCAAACCCACGAACTGTGAGATCGTGACCTGAGCCAAAGTTGGACGCTTAACTGACTGAGCCACCCAGACACCCCCAAGAAACTTTGTTTTCTGAGCTTGAGTGCCTTCTGTGTCTCCTTTTGTGGCTACATCTATTGCCTAAAATAACACAAAACATGTATGAAACACCTTCTCTGTTTTCTCTATAGGTTGTCATCTTTGATCTCAAACATTAGGTTGCAGTTGGGCAGTGTTTTCCTTACCTGTGTCCTGTTGTGCCTGCAGTGTCATTCAGCATTTTCCTTAACCCATCCAGAAAGGGACTAAGGAGAGAAGAAAAAGCATTTCCATGGATTCCTTGACTGCATTCCTGGCACCTCCACCCATTGTCCTGTCTTCTGGAAGATTCCTACCCCTTGGTTTTTCCCCAGTGCGCTTTAGCCAGGAGGTGATTCCTGCTGTCTGTCCAATCTGTGCCTTCCACAGATTTTCGGCTGTACTTGAATGGCTAGAGAGACAGAGGGGTAAAATGCAAGTTTAGCCCTTAGGAAATGTGGAAATAAAAGAGGAGATAGTTATATTTATAAAGGTTTATGTAGTGGCTACTAAGGTTTTATTCTACTAAGATTCACCTACATGCTGAAGTAGTCTTTTTTGACTTAGAATGTATGAAGTGCTGGGTTTTTAGGGTTGAATAATTCAACCTTTTAGGCTTAGTGCTGATGTTTCATGTTATTTTATAACATGAAGATTCCAAAAGAGGCTGCAGACTTTTGGAAGTGATATTCCAGAAGGTATATTTGAGTTGATTACGTCAGCATGTCTTACTGTTCAGTGAGAACCACCTGTGCTCAGCATCCGTGGTGGAGCTTGTTAGAACTACAGCTTCTTGTAATCATCAAGACAGTATGGTACTGGCACAAAAACAGACACTTAGAGTGTCTCTACAGAGTAGAGAACGCAGAAATGGACCCACAAACATGTTGCCAACTAATCTTTGACAAAGCAGGACAGAATATTCAGTGGAATAAATACAGTATGTTCAAATTGTGTTGAGAAAACTGGACGGTGACATGTAGAAGAATGAATCTGGACCACTTTCTTACACCATACACAAAAATAAACTCAAAATGAATAAAAGACCTAAACGTAAGATAGGAAGCCATCAAAAACCTAGAGGAGAAACAATGTAGGCAACAATCTCTTTGACCTCTGCCACAGCAACTTCTTACTCAACACATCTTGGAGGCAAGAGAAACAAAAGCAAAAATGAACTATTGGGACCTCATCAAAATAAAAGGCTTCTGCACAGTGAAGGAAACAATCAGCAAAACTAAAAGGCACCCGACAGAATGGGAGAAGATATTTGCAAATGACATATCCGATAAAGGATTAGTATCCAAAATCAATACAGAACTTACCAAACTCAACACCAAAAAACAAATAATCCAGTGATGAAATGGGCAAAAAACATAGATACATTTCCAAAGAAGACATCCAGATGGCTAAAAGACACATGAAAAGATGCTCAACATCACTCATCAGGGAAATACAAATCAAAACCACAATGAGGTACCATCTCACACCTGTCAGAATGGCTAAAATGAACAACTCAGGAAATGACCGATGTTGGTGAGAATTTGGAGAAAGAGGGACCGTTTTGCACTGCTGGTGTATACACGCAGACACACCCAGACACACACACACACAGTGGAGTATTACTCAGCAATCAAAAAGAATCAAGTCTTGCCATTTGCAACTACCTGGATGGAACTGGAGTGTATCATGCTAAGCAAAATTAGAGAAAGACAAATATCATAACTTCACTCATGTAGAACTTATGATATAAAACAGATGAACAGAAGGGAAGGAAAACAAAAATAATATAAAAAAGGGAGGGAGACAAAACAGACAAAAAATATAGAGCAAACTGAGGCTTGCTTGGGGAATTGTGGGTGGGGGCATGGGCTAAATGGTCAGAGGCCATAAAGAAGGACACTTGTTGGGATGTGCATTGGGTGTTCCATGTAGAAGATGAATCCCTGAATTCTGCTCCTGGAATCATTATTGTACTATATGCTAACCAACTTCAATGTAAATTACAGAAAAAAAGAAAAAAAAAAAAGTACAGCTTCTTGGCCCCTGCCCCAGATGTACAGTCTGACTCTCTGGGAGAGAGTCTGAAATCCACTTTTGGAACAAGCTCTTCATTTGTCCTTTATTCTTACTCATAATTGGTGCATTAAACACCATGCATATCACAGTACCGTTTTTTCTAAGTGTATGAAAATGGTTCTTCATGAAAAATACCGGAACAATAGTGACACAAAACAGAAAACCAGAGAACTCAAGCTCCTTTAC